TAAATCTCCATGGACAAGTTTTGCTATGTCCTACGAAATTTGGTCTACTAAATCTCTCCAATCTCTTTCTTAAACAATCGTCTTTAGTTGCTAAATATTCGTACCTAACAGTCTTTCACCGAAGAAACGTGGCATTGTCCACAATAAATGCCAAACGGTTCACGTCACATCACGTGCACCAACCTTACTCATTAAATTTCTCGCCAAACACAGCAACACATAGCAAGGTTATTTTCGTCTTCTTCTTTATTTCTTAAAGTTCAATTTTGGCATATTTCGAAAGGTTTATGATTTGTGGCCATTTCAGTAAGTTATGCTACAATGAATGACACATTAGACCAAATTTCTTAAAATGATTCACCCCTAAAAGTGAACCCTAGTAATTTCCAAATAAAAACCCTTTGTAGCAAGTAGCAACTAATTAATAAGTCTTCTAAATTCTTGCGAATATGAACCAACTAACTAACAGAATATCACCTAAAAATAGTATAAAGAGAGAGTAACATATCTACTATACATTTTTGCAACACTTTTAAGGGATCCTAATCGGGTCGGATTTTGATTCAATTTTGACCCGGAAATCTCAATCGGATCTTTCCTTAAATTTTGGCAAAATTTAAAAACGAAATTAATTAATAAAATATTTTCTCAATTAATTACTATATCTAAACTCTTTATTTATGGTATATTATTTATGATTTTTATAGATAAGGAAATCAAATATGATGATTTAATGCTAATATAACAAATTTGAGCTAATTTCCTAAAACCTCTCTACCTAATTTATACATAAATATATGATTCTCATTTCACTTTTATTTGATCTTATATTTATATTATTTGAATTATTATAAAATATATGTAGTTAATAAAACTTTAGATTTTTTCCTGCATATGCTATGATTCAAATTTTTTGAAACGGACATATATTACTTAATCAATGAAGAAAAAAAGTATGTGTGTAATATATATTAACATTTTTGAAGAACAAATTTGCGCATTTAATTAGGTCGTTTTTTTTCTGACCCGGAATTGAATCATTTAGATCTTTCCTTAATTTCTACAATTATCCAAAGCGGGACCATATACCACGGGTGAAATCCTAAAATTAACAAATCAAAATACAATTATTTAGTATTTTAAGATAAAATTATAAATTGTTTTTACGGGTTGGTCCAAAAACACACATTAATTTAAAAATATATATATATATATATATATTATGGAAACCATTTGAAAGCAAACTTTTAAATTGACTCGAATTATATGTCTTTTAAATAAAAGTGTTATTAAAAAAATAACAAAATGATGTTTAATTTCACAAGACGGGAATATATAGTGAGACGGGTTTGGGTCGATATTAATACGGACAATATACCACGGGTAAAATCCTAGAATTAACAAATCAAAATACAATTATACAATCTTAAACACTAAACTAAACAAATACAACTTAAAATTTTTATTTTTTAGTTACAACGCATGTGATCCGCGGTATACAACAAATAATATTATAAACAACAAATTCATCAGTTTACAAAATGATTAAAAAAATCAAATAATTAACCCGCGGTGTACCGCGGGTCATATCCTAGTTGTGTTGTATTTTAACAAAAAAACAACTGGCATTGAAGAAACCAATAGGATTTGTTATAATAAGTCATTACCAAAACAAAAAATAGAAAGAAAAAACGGATATGCATGGCAAAACAAATACAATTTCTGTTTGTTAAGATGAAACATCCTTCAACGTCCTTACGCGTCATCATCATCCTTACATGGAGACAATACTTGGGCCCTTAAACACATAAGACCAACCGAACTTTATCCTTATAGTTAAACACTCCAACTTTTCCCAACATCTTTAAAAATATTTCAAACCAAGAGACTTTCATTTTATTGACAACGAAAATAGACCGACCAGGAAATAACGATTACATCACATGCATTGTAAACTTAATCTTATTAAAACTCATCAAACGTCTCCTTGTTCATAAGGTTGTTTGATCGATGATAGAAAAGTAGAGATAATTAAACGGAGACGATGTTGGTCACAGAGACCTTCACCATTTCAGCTTCAAAGATAATGGCATCATTCACCATATACCCTTTCGATGCATCATTGAATTCTGCTAACGATATGATAGTGTTAACTCCCACACCATAATCGCTTCGAGTGGGGTACCAAGCTGCAGCTGCAAAAAAACAATTTATACCAACTATTAATTTCATTTACTTTATCCTGGAGATTACCATTTTGTTACTTATTTTTTTGGTTAATTAGTTTACTTACAATATATTTGTTTGTGGTTGGAGCCTCGTTGATTCTTTAACCGCAGATTAACCGCTCCCCAAGTGTTTGTAGCAACTGCATTTGGCTTATGACCTTGAGCATATAGGAAGATTGGGATTGCTTGTGATCTTCCATCTCCAGTACCTTTTGGGTTAAATCCTAACCTCCTGATTATATATCAACCAAAAACCGTTATTGTACTTGACTACTGCGGAATTCACATAACAGATGCAATCTTTAAGAATTTTTAGACTTCGATCTAAAAGATATGGTTAACAAAAGTACTAACCAGTATCGGTCTTCAACAAGAAAATCATCAGAATAATAGAATTTATCTTCCAAGGTAGAGAAATGAAGTATCTTCCAAGTGAAAACATTGTTTGGAGGGTTTGATATGAACGTGACTTTCTCTTGTACCTGGACCGGTGTACCGATGAAAATCTCAGCACCAAAAGAAGCAGTGTCCTGCTCAAGGTAACCTTGGTTCGTGTCAAGGAATGTTGGAAGAGGAATCAATTTTCCGTATCCCCACTCTTTTTTCGCATCGTTGTATCGTTTCACTATTCCATCTACATCCACAATTTTGCAAAACACATGGAAGTCACATCAACTCCGTTCATGGAAAATGTCACACTAATATTTGAAATCTACATCCACAATTTTTTTTTTAAAACCAAAAAAAAAAATATGTATCTATAAATATATAATGGACTAGTAAAATTCCATAAACATCTTAACTACCTGTAACAGTCAAATACTTGCGTTGCTTCCCATTGTAGACAAAGAGTTTGAGTTCAACATTGACTTCCCAGCCTCTTGGAAGAGATTCTGTCTCTTCGATCCTCACGTAAAGTGAAATATGATTATTTCCACCATCGTTTTGATTACCATTCACGTACAAAACTAATCTCCTGATTCATTTTTAATTTCACATCAAAATAAACTCAAATATATATATGTAAAAAGTGAACAAAAAATTATGGAAGTGTAGTTCTTTACCATTTGTAACCACCGGCCTCAAAGACAGAGGATTCGTAGGGTTCTCCTCTCCCTTGAATCACGGAGAAACTTGTTATAGTCAGTATCTTGTTTGGTGGTCGCTCATCTCTCCACATTCCTGTCACTCCAGTTAAAAAAAAATCTAAAAAAAAATTCCAAGAAAATCAAGAAATTGGTTTTAGTGTTTAACTAAGAAACTCATTTTATTTACCACCTCCTTGCCCCTGATTTCCGCCGCCTGTCCCTGAGCCACAACCAGGACCAGGACCTCCTCCTCCCCCATAACCAGGACCAGGACCTCCTCCTCCACCATACCCAGGACCAGGACCATGACCAGGACCTCCTCCTCCGCCATAACCAGGACCAGGACCTCTTGGGCCGCCACCATAACCAGGACCAGGACCACCAGGACCTCTTGGGCCGTGGCCACCAAAACCAGGACCTCCTGGGCCGCGGCCACCAAAACCACGACCGCCTCTACCAGGGCCACCACCACAACCTCCTCTATTCATAGGATTGGATTAAACCTGATTGGGAAAGACTTGAGTGACTTACCTCATACGAAAATTTCAGAATATTTTTTTATGAGTTTGCTTGAAGTGAACTAACTAAATCGAATGTTATACCAAAAGACAAAAAAAAAAAAGACTTGAGTGACTTACCTCATACGAAAATTTCAGAATATTTTTTTATGAGTTTGCTTGAACTAGTGAACTAACTAAATCGAATGTTATACCAAAAGACAAAAAAAAAAAAACTGTTATTATTGTTAAGAAAACAAACTACGTTGTTAATATTATTGTTAAAAACTACGTTTAAAAAGCCAATGGATTTGTCCAAAAAAGAACCAAATGTAAGCCTCTGTCTAAAAATTAAAATAGCTTTAAAAATAAAAAATAAAAATACCTGTTGAATTAGGAATTCAGCACAAGAGGAATTGATGAAGAGAAAAACGAGAGTTATGAAACCATATTTTGAGATCTGCTTTTTTACTTTCTTGGGATGGCCTTCATTTATAGACAGAAACGAATCTTTTTCTTTTAGGCAAACAAGACGAATCGTGTACATTACTTATTGACCGAGTACATAGTTACATATATAAAAAGACTGAATGTGGATATATCGTGCCAAAAAAGTACTATAATACTAGTGCGGTGCCAGGTTTAGAGAGGTTTAAGGTGGCCTTAGACAATTGCCTATTTTATTAAATATGAAGCACGCCACTGATTGTTATTAGAGATATTATTGTTTGACTTTGAATGTAATCACCACATTGTTATTAGAGATACTCGACAAAAAATCACCATCTACTCCTTCGGTCTCGCCTACGTACTTGGCCAACTTCCTTCTTTGCCTTCCAAAATCTCTTAGCTTGACATCTTTAGAACTCATTGTTGCAACGTCTTGATGTGTTGTCAGGGCCGGTCCTAGGATAGTAGAGGCCTAAAGCATATTTTCATATGTGGCCCTTCTTAAATATATAATATTAGGTAATTCATAGAATGTAAAAAAAAAAACAAAAATATGCTCATTTGGGTGTTTGAACTCAGGTTTAAGACAAATCCAAAGGACTACTTAACCATCTTAGCTAACGAAAAAGCTTTGTATTATAGCCCATATTTTTAGAATATAAAGTGTGGCCTAAAGCACATGTTTCACTTGCTTTATGGGCGGGCCGGGCCTGTGTGTTGTTACTCACACTACAAAAAAAGTGAGCATTGATAGCAGTCCACTATAGCACGGTTTCACTAATTGCTATGAACGATTGATTTGGGATTTTGATTACATGTAATAGCATTTAATCAACGCTATAATAAAAAATTAATAAGTGAGAAGCTGAAAACCCTTTTTCCGCTAATACTTACCCAAAAAATTTAGAAAGCCGCCAACACTTAGAAAGTTTTTTTATCTTTTCTCAAAAACCTAAAAGAAATCTTTCAGACTCACTCACTCACGATTCACACGAAACTCGTCGCTTCCACCGTCGAAGCGTTGCAGCCTCTTCTCCTCCCTCTGTCCTCGCCGTCTCCGCCACTATAGCTGAATGTCTCTCCCCTCCTCCTCCTCCAGCTCCTATTCTCCCGAACCAACTCACCTAAACCCTAAATCCACTCCAATGGCTCCTCCTCTGCCGCTGCCGCTACCATCAAACCTAACTGACTCAACCAAAACCCCACATCTCTGCCTCTCAATCTAGATCTATCTCTCATGATGAAGTTTCAATTTACAGTGGAGGAGAATTGCATCGGAACGGAGAAGCTGAATTCGATAGAGAGAGGGAAGATTCAAATAGTCTTAGATCGGGAAGTAGATAGAGAGAGAGGATGTGGTTATGGTGGTGATGGACGGATAACTTCAATAAGTAGAGATGATTCGTTGACTCTTATCTACGCCTTCATCCTCACAAAATGGTAAGCCATCTCAATTGGTTGCTGTAGGGTTTTTAGATTTCTTTAATTTGGAAATTGGAAGCTTGAAAAACCCAAAAGGTACTCTTAATTAAGAGAAATCTGTTAACTGTAAACTTGATTTCCAAAAAGAGAACTCTTTATATCTGGAGATGGAGCTCGTGTGTGAAACTCCTCAGTAGGTGATGTTTACTTATATTCTTTAATTTGTTTTGATTTGGTTTTATCTCTTAACTTCAGATGATCCATTGAGTTGTATTCCTGAAACTTTGTTCAGGCCATCTCACTGGATTTGGTGTTAAAAGGCAGTCTTTTTCTATTATGAAAGTTCTTTCTATTAAATTATCATATTGATTGCTAAAATGTTGCAGCCGGAGCTGTACAATGGTTTGAGAGAGGGTAGCTTGTTGAATATCTTGAGTGGTGGAAAGTAAAAAAATTGTAAGAATACTTCAAGTGTAAGTTCTAACGCATGATGTGTCTATATTTGCTCCTCTGATTTAGTAACTTCATTTATTTGAACTTTTTTGTCTAGGAAATGAACAAGCTACGAACGAGAATGAATTATGGATACTTATGTCCCATGATTTGATGATGTCTTCTTTGACCTTCAGATTGCAGGGGAGGATTTTGGAAGGTACTTTCTTGTTACTGCTAGCTTTTTGTGTTTGATTTCTTGTTTTTTGCAGCTTGTATAAGGGTATTGCTCCACTTTGGGGACTTCATGATAATATTCCGATGTTTAGTTGGGTCTTGTTTCTGTGTGTGTGTGTCTGTTATAACTTCTAGCACTATGGTTCTCGTCGTGATAGTAACTGAATTTGGCATGATATTCGATTGTGTAGTTTAGCATTCATGGCCAAAAATTTGGAAAATGAAAATTAAAAACTTAAGATTTGAGACATGGAATAAAAATGATTCAAAGTAAGAATTGAAGATGGTTTTTTTTTAAAAGGACTTATTAGTTGATTGAGACATGGAAAGGGAAATAATTGCTTTGTATAACTCTTATGAAATTATTCATCCTAAAACCATTAATATATAAGATAATGACAACATACGTTTATAACAGTTACCGAAATTTATGTCATCATCTGTTATTTCGCATACATTTTATTCTTCTCATGAGAAACTCACTCTACCTTGAGATTAATTTACTTAGCACTAATTCCTTTTTTTTTGTTGGGTCATGAAGCATAAGTAATTCTTTAAAGGCAAAGTGTTGAAGACGCTGAAGTTTCCCTAGCTGGTACATTAAATTGCTCAATGCTATTTGCATAAGTTTTATTAGCTGCTTTCCCTTTTATTGAAAAGTAGTTTCTTACATTGTTAACTTTGCTACCTCTTCCTCTTCCAAGCTCTTCTTCTATGAACCACATAGTGATGATTTCAAGGTAAGTTAAGGCTGATGCAAGGTGAAAGCTTTGTTTAGAATAAGAGCTTTGTAAATCATCACTTTGATAAAGTTGAATCTTTAATTGTCAATAACTGTTGTATTTTTTTGTTAAGGATGATTCAACATGGCTTGAGCTTTTTGATCACTAGAATGTGATAAGTGGGTAGAGAAAGGAATTGCTTCAGCCATAGCACCAAGCTTGAAGGAAGAACAAGAACAAGAACAAGTCTTAAACAATAAAGCACCATTTGGAGTTTTGACGCAAGAACCAGAACAGTTAGAATTTGTGATCGTAGATAGGGTATTTTTCTTTGTCCCTTATCTCATAAATTAGTACTCTTGTTGTATAAGAGTCGTAGTTGATGTTTTTATATAAGGTTTGGTTTGTATTAGACTTGTATGTTTCTTTTATGGATTTTATATGAAATAAAATATATTTAAATATATATCTTTGACCAAATTTAATTTATATGAAAATATATGAAATATAGAATGTAAAAACATGTCAATTTTAATTGAAAAAAATAGCATCGATAAAATGCTACAACATAATATATCATGGCGTAAATAACGAGCTATAATTGAATCGAGTATAGCATTTAATTAACGTTATGGTAGAATAACCTATAATAGCATTCTTAAAAATGTTATCGTAGGTAAAAAACCTACGATAGCTGCCGATGTCATAGCATTTGTGAATTCGCTATGTAATATATATGATAGCAAATTTTTCGCGCTAACAATGAACATATTTCTTGTAGTGTCATGTCTTCCTTCTTGAACTTTGACTCTCAATCTTCTCTTCACTTCTTTACTCAAATTTTGACTAAAAACGATCTATTTTCCCACGAGAAGTATAACATTATAATAGATCCACACCAATCTATGACCACATGCTAAATATCTCCGAAATCAAAATTCGAAACCTATATCCCCCTAAACTAAAAGTTCGAAATCTAAATCTCCCTGAAATAGTTCTAAACATTGATATCACGAGAGAAACGCTATAATATGTCATTTATAGCGTTTTCATAAACGCTGTTTCTGCCCCAGTTATGGTAGGTGCCACACATACAATAGCGTGTTTTTTGTATGCTATGTTAGAGACTTCTACCATAGCTCTAAGAAAACGCTTTTTTTTAATTCGTTAAATTTTGTTTTTAATTATGTAATAAGTTATTATTCATGCTATGTTATGTAGCGCTACCATAGCTATATTGAACAGAGTTACTTTAATTTATTATAGCTGTATGTTATGCTGTAATATATTATATCATAGCGCCTATTTAGTTTGTAAAATTTATGTAATTACTCAGTTTGACAGCTACGATAGATGATTTTACCATAGCATTACTAAAATGTTACATGACACTGATTTTAATTTTTTTTTGGATGCTATTGTACTTGTTTTCATGACACAACCGTGTTTTATAAAAGTACTGACAATCCCCATTGATAACAATCCAACATCCATATATTACAGAAGCCCAAACACAGAATACAAAAAAAAAGTCTCATGTCCAAGGAGTAGTTGTACCAAAAGCAGCATTGAATACTAAACACAGAATACTAAATTAAACCAAGTCTCATGTCCAAGCAGAAGTTTAACACATGATCACCTTGTCATCTGGCCATGCAAGAGTTGTGCCAAATGCGTCTTCCAAAGTCACAATTTCATCAGATGGCCTCCAAACTGCTGCATCACTTACCTTCACGATATCTACCCACACCTTAACTCCATTAGAACCCAAGGGAACAAAATGGACCTTCATATCTGGGTCATTTGAAACCCATCGTCCTTCAGCAACTACCCGCTTCCTTCCGGTAATATCCATCAGCTTGCACTTCTTATTCTCCTTTGAAACAACTTGATTACTAATACGCTGCCAATATAAATAAACCAACAGTCAGAAGACTAAGCATAAGCAACTTAATAACATATCCAAAACATCTACCTGAGATTTTCGAAGAGGAGACTGTGAATCTGGAAGAGTTTTCTTCATTGGAGAGCTTGTACCTGTTGCATCCTCAATAGGAGATTCAGAACCTGTACCTGTTGTAGATTTAGGGCCTGATGTTGCAGATTTTGCACCTGGTACAGATTTAGAACCTGATACAGTTGCTGCAGAATTCTGAAGAGGAGATTTGTGACCTGTTGTTGAATTTTCAAAAACAACTTTACTGACAGGCCAAGATACAAAAGCCATAACACAGTCCTCAAGGTATGTCATTTCCATGGTAGGCCTCCATATAAAAGTTTCAGGCTGATGGACTTGATCCACAAATACTTTAACTGCCTTTGGTCCGAGAGGGAGTCCATTAACCAATGCGCTTGGTTCTTGTGTCTGCCAACGACCTTCAGCAACAATCACTTCATCGCTAGACAAATCTAGTAGTTTGCATTTGTTCAGAGAATTTGTTCTAAGACCCTATCAAACGGTTTCAAAACAGAAATTGAATCAGTATATTGATCATGATTCTATCTATCAAGTAATATGGTTCTAGCTGAAAACTAAAATTTACCAGAGGCGCAATATCTTCTATTTGGATGTCCTTGTCAACTAGAACACACTTAGAGGCTGGCCAAGCAATTATTTGTCCAACAGCTTCCTCAACCGTGAACATGTTACTTGCTGGTCTCCAAAGGAATGCATCTGGTTTGGTAGCAGTTTCTACCAACACTTTAAGATCTGTAGGGCCTAGGCGACAGTTATTCACCAAGTCATCAGGATCAGAAGAAAGAATTCGCCCCTCAGCAATGTTTTCATCAGAATCAGACCAATCATACAACACACACTTTGGGAGTGCTCTTTTGTTCACACTCTACAAAATATTGATTTGAAAAATGTCAATTATAAAATAAAAATAAGGAATCACTGATATCAGACATTGATGTGATCTAACTTACTCTAGCAGCTGAGTTTTCACCTATTTCAGCTTCTTGTCTCTGTAATATTTAAAACTAGTCAAAATCTATTTAATAACTCAGCAACTAAATGTATAATTTGAGAACTAATAAAGTATCTAACCTGATTCTTGATTTTCAGTAATTCCTCTTGTAATTCATTGACCTTCTTAACCAATTGAACTTGCTTCTCTTGCATGTCAGTCATACATTTGGTCTTTATTTGGAAACAAGCTAATTTTGTCTTACTCATGCCTCTACCCATTGCCCTGAGCCGACCAGGATTGTCAGGTCCTAGAAGTTGGGAGAGGTGATCTTCTTCTGGATTTGTTGTCAATGTTGGAGCATCACTACCAACCAGCTCAGCTGCCTTTTTCTGCAAACAAAAAATACAGATTCTGAGTCTAACATGTAAGAGAACCAAATTCAAATACACATTCTGTGACTAATTTGCAACTTACAATCTTCTCAGCTGCATTCGTATTCACTGGCGTACCATCTTTTTTGGTACGCGACTTGACCCACACCTTCAGCCTAGTCACTTCTGATGGATCTCCACTTTCAATTTTCTGGAAAAAAAGGTAAAATATCATTAAGGGTATATGGTATATAACTGTAAACTTACAAGTAGAAATATGCTTACCATATCCTCTGCTAGTCTGACCATTCCTTTACGACTAGTAGTGTGAGGAATCTGTTTCCTTCTCCTTTCTTTATATTTATCACTCACAACCTGATAATTAAACATGTTAATCACCAACAGACCATCAAATAAACATAACAGTTGAAATCAATACCTTAAAGCTTGCACTTGTTTTGATTTTCACAAATTTCCGCCAATCAGCTGGATTAATATTATTTGGTCTCAGATTCATCCTCTGTTGGTTATTAGTATCCCCATTAATGTCCCTCACTATGCGGGATTTGTATGATCTCCACAAATTTCCCATTTGCTTTAGCACAGCAACCTTTTGAAACTCTTCATCCAGCTCAAATCTTGCCTGCATTCACTTGCCAAGAAAACATGTAAAAAACTTAAACTGCTCTTAAGTTATGGAAAAAAAGAAATGCTCAAATTGGATAGAAAACATTACCTGAATAGATTTCCAGAGAACAGTTTTGATTTCTTCGCTAACATTCTTCCAAGTATCAATTGTGATTGGTACATGTTCCCGTACCAATGGACCTACATAAGATGACAACTTCACTGATCCCGGACCATAAGGATCTCCCATGAGAGTGTAGTCAACTCTTTCTCGAACATTTGGATCCTTTGCGATGTTTTTCATCTTTGTTGGTCCTCTATGTCTCTTGCGCTTAGCTGGACGCTCATTCTCATCTGTCAACTGAAGCTCACCTTCAGGTTCTTCCTCATTGTTAGCAGTCACTTCAGCTGCTTCAGTCACGTCTACATCTGATCTATGCTCTTCTTCTTGTACTTCAGCAGCTTCAGTCTCTTGTTCTCCTTGTACTTCAGCAGCTTTAGTCTCTTGTTCTCCTTGTACTTCAGCTGCCTCAGTCTGTGGTTCCACAGTACATATAAATTCTGGTTCATCAGTGTCTTTTGCAGCCTTACTTTTCTTTTTTTGTCCACCCTTCTTCTTTGGACGCCCCATATCAGTTCAACTGCATGTAAGAACAATAAATTAGAACATGTTGATGCTGATAAAATACATTTAACAGAAAATCTAAATGACAGTGATGTATAATAAAGACTAGGCAGACACCAGACAGAGTATAAACAAGACAAGCTGAAAATGAACAAGAAGCTACATTTGACACATATATGCCTTCACAATCAGTTCTAGCATTTTCAGCTTCATCCATCTCAAGATCCATGTCAACATCTGATGGCAATGGTCCAATATCTGCATTTCCGTCTTCAACATCTTCCTTACTGTATCTTCTTGAAGAACCTTTCATGACAACATACCAACTTGATGAATCATCTTCTCTTGAATAAAACACTTGTTTTGCCTGAGAGGCTAATATGTATGGATCCCTCAAGAAGCTGACTTGACTTTGATTCAAGTTAACAAGCGTGAAACCATCTTCGACCTTAACTCCATTACCTCTTACTGCCCATTGACATCGGAATAGAGGTACATAAAACACATTGTAATCAAGTAGTATGATATCAGTGACTCTCCCATAGTATGATACCAAATCAAACACTTGTGAAGTATCTTTAGCACTAGATCTACACATAGCAGTAGCCTCATAATAAACCCCACTATTCTGACTTTTTCTTTGAAGTGAGCTTGTGTGAAACCGTTGACCATTAACTATATACCCTGTATAAGACCTAGCACTACACCGAGGACCATAAGCCAACCACTTAAGAGTATCTTCATGTCCATTTGAAACTATTGGTATCTACCAAATGTAAAAAAAACAAAGAACAGTCAGAAACAAAAGGATATGAAAACCAGAATCATGAATGCATACCATTCAGATATATTATTACTTGCCTGCTCTTTTAACCAAGTAGCAAATTTCTGAGCATGCATAGTCCACAACAGTGATGCTTCACGTCTACATCTTGGATATGAGTCTTGTAGATATTGCAGGTGCATGCTTGAAAAACAAAAAAAAAATGAACAATTAGTCTCAGCGGATACCAAAGAAACAAATCAAGTAAGAAGATATTACAGAAACTTACTCCACATAAGGATCCAAGGCAGCAATATTCTGAATGACAGCAAGATGTGCTATATTTTTCTCCATTTCAGTGAGAGTAAATGAAGTGCCTGCGGATATAGGCCGACCTTCTAGAATAGAGATATTCTCATACTCTGTATTTCTATCCAGTTTTTCTTCTACACTAGTTGACTTTTTCAGAAAATCACTACAAAACTGCACACATTCTTCTGCAAGGTAAGACTCTGCGATACAACCTTCCGGTTTTGCAGGATTTCTAACAAAGTCTTTCAGAACTTTCATGTACCTGCAAAGTATTAAATATAAACATTAGTAATGAAACAGATTTTGTGTTTTCAAGAATAAAAAGGATGAAGTATATAACAGAAGCTATACCTTTCAAATGGGTACATCCATCTAAAATGGACTGGTCCTCCAAGACGAGCTTCCCTTCCTAGATGAACTGTCAAGTGTACCATGATATCAAAGAAGCTGGGTGGGAAAAATCTTTCAAACATACAGAGAGTTTCAACTATTTCAGCTTCCATTATTGAAATCTGCTCCCTGTCAATAACTCGCTGACACAACATGTTGAAGAATGCGCATAAGCGAAAGATTGCTGTCCTAGGTCCTTTTGGTAACAATCCTCTAAGTGCAACTGGGAGTAGCTGTTGCATCAATACATGATAATCATGTGATTTGAGACCTGTTATCTTACACTCCTCTAATGATACACCCCTTGATATATTAGAGCAATATCCATCTGGACCTTTAAAATCAAAAAGCCGCTTGCAGAAAATTTTCTTCTCTTTCTTTGATAAAGACCAAGGAGCTGCTGGAAGGTAAGTTCTCTTTCCTTGTGTACTAGGATGTAAATCCTTTCTTATCCCAAGTTCTTGCAAATCTTTACGAGCATTAAGACCATCCTTTGATTTTCCACAATGCAACAATGTAGAGACAATGCTTGCAGCCACATTTCTCTCTACATGCATTACATCCAAATTATGTCTCACCGGGAGATCCTAGCAAATACAACAAAACCAAACTTAAACCCATAGTATAATTGACTAATTCTGAAAGTTAATCAATTAAACATACCTCCCAATACTCCAGCTTGAACAAAATGGATCTTTTCTTCCATCTTGATAATTCTTCCTCGTCAACTGCTACTTCTTCCTCTTCTTCTGATTCACTGGATTCATCATCAATATCAGATCCTGAGTCAAGATATTCAGTCCTTTTTCTCTTCCTTCCAGATTCTTTAGCATTACCAAAATCGTTTTTGAAGTTTCTCAGATTTTGGGAAATTTCACGACCAGTTAATATTCTAGCCTTTCTCCCATGTTCAGCTTTCCCATCAAACCATGCCTTCTTATCCCGATAACTATGTGTTGGTGCTAATCCCTTTCTATGACACATAAAAACATGCTTTCTGCTAAATTTCAGCCACATACTATCTGTGTTTTTTCCACATATAGGACATCCCATTTTACCCTTAACTTTGCAGCCTGCAAGATTTCCATAAGCAGGAAAATCACTAATAGTCCAAAGAAGCATTGCCTTAAGAGTAAAAATATTTTTACTAAAGGCATCATAAGTCAACTCTCCCTTCTTCCACAGATGGTTTAAATCATCTATTAGTGGTTCTAAGTAAACATCAATACTATTACCAGGCTGTTGTGGTCCAGGAATCAACAAGGTAAGCATGATGTTCTCCTTCTTCATACATAAGTGAGGAGGCAGATTATAATTAACTAACAGAACAGGCCAACAACTATACCTAGTATTCTTCATGTTGAACGGATTAAATCCATCTGTGGAAAGTCCAAGCCGGATGTTCCTTTCTTCAGCTGCAAAGGAAGGGTATTTGTCATCCATTTTTTTCCAAGTAACAGAATCTACAGGATGACGGAGTTTTCCATCGCTGCTCTTGTTACTAAAATGCCACCTTAAGTCCTTCGCCATTTCCACAGTTCTGAACATTCTCTTAAGCCGTGGGATTATTGGAAAGTATCTCAATACTTTCTGTGGGACACCTTTCTTTACTTCACCAGTGTGCATGTTAACCTTCCACCTTGAAGCCTTGCATTTTGGACAATTATCGAGCTTCTTGTACTTCTTTCTGAATAGGCAACAATCATTTACACACGCATGGATCTTCTCATATCCCATATCAAAGCTCTTCAAAAACTTCTTCACATCATACAATGATGTGTGAAGCACATTCTCCTTGGGTAACATCTTTGGCAATGTCTCAAGCAGTTCATTGAAGCTCTTGTCAGACCAGCCATTATTTGTCTTAATTCTAAACAGCTCCACAATAGCTGATAGCTTGCTATGGTTCGCACAGCTTGGATACAATGGTGTCTCCGCATCTGCTAGCTTTGCAAGAAACTCATCTTCTCTCTTGTCTTCACCTTCAGCTATCTCAACTAAGTCACCCTCTACAATCTCACCTAAGTCACCTTTACTAGCTAACTCTTCATCTAAATATTCAGCAGCTTTATATAAGTCAAATATCTCCTCATTCCAGTGGTTCACTTTGCTTTCTACTTCAGCCCCAGAGCTCACTTCTCCATGATGATACCAATCACTCCGCCGCTTGTATGCCTCATCCATTCCTCTTGTTACAAGATGATCAACCACATCACTGCCCGAGTGACGATCAATATTACGGCAGTCGATGCATGGACAAACTAGCTTATCAATGTCTCCTAAAGCCTCAGTCACAGCTCGTACAAATTTTCGAGCACCTCTCTCATAAGCAGGATCAACTCTTAAGAATAGAAGGGAAAAAAAAAAAACTCTTAAAGTAATTTAAGAGTTGTCCAACATTTAAACTGTTAAAGTATTTTAATTCCTTACCTGCAGAGATGGACCCATGACTTGTCCAACATTATATGTACTAAGCGTAAGTAAGACCTTTAGAACAACAATTCAACCATAAGATACCATCTCAAGTTCTAGATAAGACATTAACACAATCTGAAACTCAAACATCTAACTGTGGTCAAGATAATACATTATATTAACACAAAGACAACAACACAAACTGACAAGAACACAAACACATAATATCTGACAATTATTATCTCAAGTTCAGATACTTAAAGCACTACACTAAGTTTAACTCTTCACACACTTAAAACATTACACTATGTTTAACTCAAACTCAAATATAACTCAAACACATTATAAATAACAAAAAAAAGTTGAAGAACAAACCAAAACAATAGTAAGAGAAAGAAAAACTACAAAATTAGTTTAGGACTAACCTGTGAGTGATTACAACAACAAGATAAGCTTCAGTTCCCCAATAATGCAATCACCAACACTTGCAAAACAATAAAATTAGTTTAGTCAATATCCTATTTAACAATAAAATCGATTAAAACTTTCAAAACCAAAACACTATTCTCGTTTCTTCATCAGGCGAAGCTCAAAACTATAAACTAAAGCACGAGCACAGATAACTAATTCTCATTCACAGACATGCAAAAGGATAGCACTTAATAGAAAACAGATCGATTAATATAAACCCTAGATTTGAAACATGGCTTGGATTTGAGCTTAATCGCGAATACAGTTCAATTAAAAACAGTTCAAATCATATGAACCCTAAAATCGCAGAGAGAAATTAAAAAAAAAACAGATAGAAATCGATAATTTCAAGCTTGGAATCGAGCATATATTGAGCGAAATCGATAATTTCAAGGACTGCAATCAAATCTAAACAAGTCGAAATCACATTGAAATGAGAGAAAGAATGTAGTTAGAGTTGGGAAGAAAGAGATGCCTTCGATTTGAGCTAGAGAATGTGTCTGCGGCGGCGCTGGAGAATGTGTCTGCGGCGGCGCTGGAGAATGTGACTGCGGAGGAACAGAAATTTATGGCCGGCGACAAGCTTGGAATCGATTTATGGCCGGCGACAAGCTTGGATTAGAGAGAAATCGTGGATCTGAGAAGTTTAGGTTTTGTTACTAAAGAGAGTGAACAAAGGGAAAAGTTTGTGTTTTCTCGAGAACAGAGGGAAAAGTTAATTATTTTGGCTAAGTGTTGGCGGAATAGGTCATTTTTGTTTCCCGCTAAAGGATTTGGGGTCTTAGCGTTTATCCGGTGCTATTATAAAGTAACCAAAATTACGAACTCATATTTTATAGCAGTTTAGGAAAATGTGCTATCTTCTACTGCTATCAATGTTGATTTTTCTTGTAGTGATAGAATTCGATTTTAGTTGGTTTATTGCTTTCTAAACAAACATAACCAACTAAAAGTGATTCTAAACCGAAATTAAATAGACTACAATTAACCACTAACCTAACCCGAAAAAACCCATTCGACCCAACTTCTCCTTCTTCATCCAAAATTTTCCTTTTTACTTCGTTTTCTTGTTTTGATTGTTATTAGAGATATTATTGTTTGACTTTGAATGTAATTCATTGACTTCGTTTTCTTGTTTTGATTTCTGCTACCTAATAAAAAAAATAAAAAAATTAAATTCATTTAATTTATCAATCCAAACTGATATACAATTTCGTTTAATTACAAAATCTAAACATTAATCATCCTTTATTATCCCAAAACGATATTTAACCTCGTTTAATTGTAAAATCTAAACTCTAACCGTTTTTTATAAAACCAAACCAATATTTAACCTCGTCTAATTGTAAAATCTAAACCCGTTTATAAACCAAAAATGATATTTAACTCGTTTAATTATAAAATCTAAACCATAACCGTCATTTATAAACTCAAACCGATATATAACTTCGTTTTGGTGGCATATTAGATTTTATAATTAAATGAGTTTACCTTTATTATTACTAGGACTTAGACCCCTCGCGATGTCGCGGGGAAAAAGATTTCAGGCTATTTTGAAGAAAAACAAAATGTCATAATGAATTGAGACAACAAGTTTCAAAACAATTTTTTTAACAATAAATAAAGATATATTTTACAAAAAAATATGATAAAGAAACGTAAACTCTCACAAATACTTTTTAAGATTTGTATTATTATTAGAAAATATTATGGTGAAACAATACGACCATAAATAAAAAATATTACACAAAAATTTATAATGAGTAGATGCAATTTTTCCATTTTCTAAACTATTATAAATATAACTAGCTATAAAAATATATTTATCAAAATATTACGATAAAAAGACGTAATATTTTAAATTGTATTATGTTAAAAAGAGACAATCTTCAGAAAAATTAAATAAATAAGCAAAATAGATATTTATTTAGAAAAAATAATAATGATATAGATAACAAAGTATATATATGAATGCTAAATAGCAAAAAATGTAACTTTCTATAAAAAATATCAAACAAAAAGAAATAATAAATTTAAGCCACTTTTTAAAAAATGATATATATACATATATAGAGCTACAAAGAGATGAAAGTTTAAATAGATAAATTGTTTGTAAAAGACACAATTATTAGAACTAAGTGTATATGCTAAAAAACACGAATAAAACATGGTGACAAGATAATACTCTAGATGAACAGATATAACTTTAGTTAATGCTTTATTCAAAAAAAAAAGCTTTAGTTAATGCCCTAAAAAATGTATCACAAAAGGCAATGTTGCAACGGTTCATCAAATATACCTAAAGTTGTAATAATTCATCAAATAAATTAAAGTTGCAATGATTCATCAAATATATCAAATATTGTAACGGTTCATCAAATAAACCAAATATTACAACGGTTCATTAGATAATCCAAAATATTCATTGGTTCGTCAAATAAACTTAATGTTACTATGTTCTATTAAACGGTAGCAACATATTCATTTATAGTAATTAAAATTAAAAATTTGATGAAGAACTATAATCAAAAGAAGCGACCGTAGAATATACCAAATGTTGCAACGGTTCGTCAAATAAACTTAAGATTACCACGGTTCATAAAATAGAACCAAAACTTGCAATAATTTGTCAAATAAACCAAATATTGCAACGGTTCAATTAAACGTTTAAAATTTCATTTAGTTATATTTTAGTAACTAAAATTGAAATAATAGTTTAGAGAAAGTTATACCGGAAGACGTGACTATAGATAATTAAATGTTATAATGGTTTATAAAATAAACCAAGAGTTGCATTTGTTCGTGAAATAAACTAAATGTTGCAATGGTTCAACTAAACGGTTGCAACCGTTTACAAAAAGTTACGATTAAAAAAAACGTAACCGTAGAAGACATTTATTCGGATCGCAACTTTCTAAAAAAATTCAACCGTATAATATATATTTTTAGTTTTTCAAATATTAAATGTTTTAACGATTTATAAAATAAATCAAAAATTATAATTGTTCGTTAAATAAAGTAAATGTTGCAATGGTTCAACTAAACATCGCAATTGTTTATGAGGTGTTACGATAAAAAGATGCAACCGTAGAAAATATTTATTCAGATTGCAACTTTTTGAAAAAACAACCATATAATATATATTTTAGTTTTAAAACCAAAATTTAAATCTATATAATATGAGACATAACTTTAAATGAATAGATGCAACTATGAAGACACAACCGTAAACTGAAAAGATACGACTGTATTTTGCACAAATATAACTGTAAAAAAAACTGTAAATATGTTAGCGAAGAGATGCGATAAAAGACACAACCGTAAATATATCAACGAAAAGATGCAACCAAAATAACCGTAAAAAAATAACCGATTTAAACGGAAGGTTGCGATAAAAGACGCAACCGTTCAGATGTGCAAATGATATTTATTAGATTGCTATTATATATAGATTATTATTAAGTGGCAGATTCTGATTGGTTAGAAAAAGATGAGGTGGATAAAATATTGTGAAAACTAACTAATGTGCCATATACTGTACCAAAACTTACCAAAATTGCAACATCCGCTCCACCTTTTCCAATTGTGCCATACATCCTTTGTGAAAAGTCCAAATTACCCTTGAACAAATGCTTCTTTATTTTACCTAATATCATCTTTCCCCCTCGATAACCCCATTTTCTCTGTGTTCAACATTTGAAGCCGCACAAAAAAATCTTCCGCCTTCTTCCTCATTTCCAAATCATTTCTAAAACATTAGAATTCTTTCGTTTCTCTCTCCATTTCAGAAATTCTCGAGAAGAAGAAGACGTTAGGGTTCATAGTTTTCTTCCAACCAAACTCAGATTCTGTTGTCAAGACATTCACCCCTTTTTGTTTCCCTAAGGTGAGGCTCGATAAGGATCTCTCCAACTCTTCCATAAACATTGATTCTGGGTATATGTATTCCATCTCTCTTCTCCGGAAACCGTTGATTTTGGATTTGTAGAACTAACCAAAATTCTCTTCATTTTAATTTCCATAGTGCAAGACAACAAATCCGGTTCAAGTCGTCGCTTCGATCTCTTACGTTATCGCGATCAATCCCTCTAACTCCCTGAACAAACTTCTCCCCGCGGTTTCGTCACCATCTAGGTTTGTCTCTTTCATCACTTTTTGTTATAGACAAGTTCGCGAACTGGTAGACAGGTTCGTCTGATTCCCACAACTCTTCACTAACCACTATTTCTCTTATGTTGTCCATCAGATTGAAGACATCGTATCCGGTTCAAGACGCCTCTTCGGATCCCTCCGAATCGATGCATGATCCCCCTTATTCCTCCAACGAATTTCTCCTGCTGGATTCCTCTCTATCTAAGTATGTCTATTCGGATATCATGTCTATTCCCTCAAATTTTAGTAATAGACAAATTTGTTGCATGGACCAAATACAACAAAATAACTTATCCATTATTTCAACAAGTCCAGATTAGTGTGTCGGTTATCATTCAGCCCATTTGGTGCCAGATCCGGATTCTCAGAACTATCTCCCTTCTAGAATCTGTACCACTGCCAAGGTTTGCCTATTGCATGCAACTGTTTTTTATGGACAAGTTTTGCAGAGGACAACTTTTGAATTTAATTATATTTTGTCTTCCAAACATTTTGTACTGCCTAATACCTTATATAACGGTGTCCACCTATAGATGTGGACAATGTTGTTAAGTTTGTAACTCTATCTGTCAACATATGAAACATTTTGTCCTCTCTCTATTTTAAAGTTTAGTAACATGTCCTCATATTTTTGTAGACAACACGAATCTATTTCTACACACACAACTTTATGTGGGAATTTGTCCATACCCTTTACATTGATGTTCGTAAATCCAACAAGTTTGTAAATCTCCATGGACAAGTTTTGCTATGTCCTACGAAATTTGGTCTACTAAATCTCTCCAATCTCTTTCTTAAACAATCGTCTTTAGTTGCTAAATATTCGTACCTAACAGTCTTTCACCGAAGAAACGTGGCATTGTCCACAATAAATGCCAAACGGTTCACGTCACATCACGTGCACCAACCTTACTCATTAAATTTCTCGCCAAACACAGCAACACATAGCAAGGTTATTTTCGTCTTCTTCTTTATTTCTTAAAGTTCAATTTTGGCATATTTCGAAAGGTTTATGATTTGTGGTAATTTCAGTAAGTTATGCTACAATGAATGACACATTAGACCAAATTTCCTAAAATGATTCACCCCTAATAGTGAACCCTAGTATTTTCCAAATAAAAACCCTTTGTAGCAAGTAGCAACTAATTAATAAGTCTTCTAAATTCTTGCGAATATGAACCAACTAACTAACAGAATATCACCTAAAAATAGTATAAAGAGAGAGTAACATATCTACTATACATTTTTGCAACACTTTTAAGGGATCCTAATCGGGTCGGATTTTGATTCAATTTTGACCCGGAAATCTCAATCGGATCTTTCCTTAAATTTTGGCAAAATTTAAAAACGAAATTAATTAATAAAATATTTTCTCAATTAATTACTATATCTAAACTCTTTATTTATGGTATATTATTTATGATTTTTATAGATAAGGAAATCAAATATGATGATTTAATGCTAATATAACAAATTTGAGCTAATTTCCTAAAACCTCTCTACCTAATTTATACATAAATATATGATTCTCATTTCACTTTTATTTGATCTTATATTTATATTATTTGAATTATTATAAAATATATGTAGTTAATAAAGCTTTAGATTTTTTCCTACATATGCTATGATTCAAATTTTTTGAAACGGACATATATTACTTAATCAATGAAGAAAAAAGTATGTGTGTAATATATATTAACATTTTTGAAGAACAAATTTGCGCATTTAATTAGGTCGTTTTTTTTCTGACCCGGAATTGAATCATTTAGATCTTTCCTTAATTTCTACAATTATCCAAAGCGGGACCGTATACCACGGGTGAAATCCTAAAATTAACAAATCAAAATACAATTATTTAGTATTTTAAGATAAAATTATAAATTGTTTTTACGGGTTGGTCCAAAAACACACATTAATTTAAAAATATATATATATATATTATGGAAACCATTTGAAAGCAAACTTTTAAATTGACTCGAATTATATGTCTTTTAAATAAAAGTGTTATTAAAAAAATAACAAAATGATGTTTAATTTCACAAGACGGGAATATATAGTGAGACGGGTTTGGGTCGATATTAATACGGACAATATACCACGGGTAAAATCCTAGAATTAACAAATCAAAATACAATTATACAATCTTAAACACTAAACTAAACAAATACAACTTAAAATTTTTATTTTTTAGTTACAACGCATGTGATCCGCGGTATACAACAAATAATATTATAAACAACAAATTCATCAGTTTACAAAATGATTAAAAAAATCAAATAATTAACCCGCGGTGTACCGCGGGTCATATCCTAGTTGTGTTGTATTTTAACAAAAAAACAACTGGCATTGAAGAAACCAATAGGATTTGTTATAATAAGTCATTACCAAAACAAAAAATAGAAAGAAAAAACGGATATGCATGGCAAAACAAATACAATTTCTGTTTGTTAAGATGAAACATCCTTCAACGTCCTTACGCGTCATCATCATCCTTACATGGAGACAATACTTGGGCCCTTAAACACATAAGACCAACCGAACTTTATCCTTATAGTTAAACACTCCAACTTTTCCCAACATCTTTAAAAATATTTCAAACCAAGAGACTTTCATTTTATTGACAACGAAAATAGACCGACCAGGAAATAACGATTACATCACATGCATTGTAAACTTAATCTTATTAAAACTCATCAAACGTCTCCTTGTTCATAAGGTTGTTTGATCGATGATAGAAAAGTAGAGATAATTAAACGGAGACGATGTTGGTCACAGAGACCTTCACCATTTCAGCTTCAAAGATAATGGCATCATTCACCATATACCCTTTCGATGCATCATTGAATTCTGCTAACGATATGATAGTGTTAACTCCCACACCATAATCGCTTCGAGTGGGGTACCAAGCTGCAGCTGCAAAAAAACAATTTATACCAACTATTAATTTCATTTACTTTATCCTGGAGATTACCATTTTGTTACTTATTTTTTTGGTTAATTAGTTTACTTACAATATATTTGTTTGTGGTTGGAGCCTCGTTGATTCTTTAACCGCAGATTAACCGCTCCCCAAGTGTTTGTAGCAACTGCATTTGGCTTATGACCTTGAGCATATAGGAAGATTGGGATTGCTTGTGATCTTCCATCTCCAGTACCTTTTGGGTTAAATCCTAACCTCCTGATTATATATCAACCAAAAACCGTTATTGTACTTGACTACTGCGGAATTCACATAACAGATGCAATCTTTAAGAATTTTTAGACTTCGATCTAAAAGATATGGTTAACAAAAGTACTAACCAGTATCGGTCTTCAACAAGAAAATCATCAGAATAATAGAATTTATCTTCCAAGGTAGAGAAATGAAGTATCTTCCAAGTGAAAACATTGTTTGGAGGGTTTGATATGAACGTGACTTTCTCTTGTACCTGGACCGGTGTACCGATGAAAATCTCAGCACCAAAAGAAGCAGTGTCCTGCTCAAGGTAACCTTGGTTCGTGTCAAGGAATGTTGGAAGAGGAATCAATTTTCCGTATCCCCACTCTTTTTTCGCATCGTTGTATCGTTTCACTATTCCATCTACATCCACAATTTTGCAAAACACATGGAAGTCACATCAACTCCGTTCATGGAAAATGTCACACTAATATTTGAAATCTACATCCACAATTTTTTTTTTAAAACCAAAAAAAAAAATATGTATCTATAAATATATAATGGACTAGTAAAATTCCATAAACATCTTAACTACCTGTAACAGTCAAATACTTGCGTTGCTTCCCATTGTAGACAAAGAGTTTGAGTTCAACATTGACTTCCCAGCCTCTTGGAAGAGATTCTGTCTCTTCGATCCTCACGTAAAGTGAAATATGATTATTTCCACCATCGTTTTGATTACCATTCACGTACAAAACTAATCTCCTGATTCATTTTTAATTTCACATCAAAATAAACTCAAATATATATATGTAAAAAGTGAACAAAAAATTATGGAAGTGTAGTTCTTTACCATTTGTAACCACCGGCCTCAAAGACAGAGGATTCGTAGGGTTCTCCTCTCCCTTGAATCACGGAGAAACTTGTTATAGTCAGTATCTTGTTTGGTGGTCGCTCATCTCTCCACATTCCTGTCACTCCAGTTAAAAAAAAATCTAAAAAAAAATTCCAAGAAAATCAAGAAATTGGTTTTAGTGTTTAACTAAGAAACTCATTTTATTTACCACCTCCTTGCCCCTGATTTCCGCCGCCTGTCCCTGAGCCACAACCAGGACCAGGACCTCCTCCTCCCCCATAACCAGGACCAGGACCTCCTCCTCCACCATAACCTGGACCAGGACCATGACCAGGACCTCCTCCTCCGCCATAACCAGGACCAGGACCTCTTGGGCCGCCACCATAACCAGGACCAGGACCACCAGGACCTCTTGGGCCGTGGCCACCAAAACCAGGACCTCCTGGGCCGCGGCCACCAAAACCACGACCGCCTCTACCAGGGCCACCACCACAACCTCCTCTATTCATAGGATTGGATTAAACCTGATTGGGAAAGACTTGAGTGACTTACCTCATACGAAAATTTCAGAATATTTTTTTATGAGTTTGCTTGAAGTGAACTAACTAAATCGAATGTTATACCAAAAGACAAAAAAAAAAAAACTGTTATTATTGTTAAGAAAACAAACTACGTTGTTAATATTATTGTTAAAAACTACGTTTAAAAAGCCAATGGATTTGTCCAAAAAAGAACCAAATGTAAGCCTCTGTCTAAAAATTAAAATAGCTTTAAAAATAAAAAATAAAAATACCTGTTGAATTAGGAATTCAGCACAAGAGGAATTGATGAAGAGAAAAACGAGAGTTATGAAACCATATTTTGAGATCTGCTTTTTTACTTTCTTGGGATGGCCTTCATTTATAGACAGAAACGAATCTTTTTCTTTTAGGCAAACAAGACGAATCGTGTACATTACTTATTGACCGACATAGTTACATATATAAAAAGACTGAATGTGGATATATCGTGCCAAAAAAGTACTATAATACTAGTGCGGTGCCAGGTTTAGAGAGGTTTAAGGTGGCCTTAGACAATTGCCTATTTTATTAAATATGAAGCACGCCACTGATTGTTATTAGAGATATTATTGTTTGACTTTGAATGTAATCACCACATTGTTATTAGAGATACTCGACAAAAAATCACCATCTACTCCTTCGGTCTCGCCTACGTACTTGGCCAACTTCCTTCTTTGCCTTCCAAAATCTCTTAGCTTGACATCTTTAGAACTCATTGTTGCAACGTCTTGATGTGTTGTCAGGGCCGGTCCTAGGATAGTAGAGGCCTAAAGCATATTTTCATATGTGGCCCTTCTTAAATATATAATATTAGGTAATTCATAGAATGTAAAAAAAAAAACAAAAATATGCTCATTTGGGTGTTTGAACTCAGGTTTAAGACAAGTCCAAAAGACTACTTAACCATCTTAGCTAACGAAAAAGCTTTGTATTATAGCCCATATTTTTAGAATATAAAGTGTGGCCTAAAGCACATGCTTCACTTGCTTTATGGGCGGGCCGGGCCTGTGTGTTGTTACTCATGTCTTCCTTCTTGAACTTTGACTCTCAATCTTCTCTTCACTTCTTTACTCAAATTTTGACTAAAAACGATCTATTTTCCCACGAAAAGTATAACATTATAATAGATCCACACCAATCTATGACCACATGCTAAATATCTCCGAAATCAAAATTCGAAACCTATATCCCCCTAAACTAAAAGTTCGAAATCTAAATCTCCCTGAAATAGTTCTAAACATTGATATCACGAGAGAAACGCTATAATATGTCATTTATAGCGTTTTCATAAACGCTGTTTCTGCCCCAGTTATGGTAGGTGCCACACATACAATAGCGTGTTTTTTGTATGCTATGTTAGAGACTTCTACCATAGCTCTAAGAAAACGCTTTTTTTTAATTCGTTAAATTTTGTTTTTAATTATGTAATAAGTTATTATTCATGCTATGTTATGTAGCGCTACCATAGCTATATTGAACAGAGTTACTTTAATTTATTATAGCTGTATGTTATGCTGTAATATATTATATCATAGCGCCTATTTAGTTTGTAAAATTTATGTAATTACTCAGTTTGACAGCTACGATAGATGATTTTACCATAGCATTACTAAAATGTTACATGACACTGATTTTAATTTTTTTTTGGATGCTATTGTACTTGTTTTCATGACACAACCGTGTTTTATAAAAGTACTGACAATCCCCATTGATAACAATCCAACATCCATATATTACAGAAGCCCAAACACAGAATACAAAAAAAAAAGTCTCATGTCCAAGGAGTAGTTGTACCAAAAGCAGCATTGAATACTAAACACAGAATACTAAATTAAACCAAGTCTCATGTCCAAGCAGAAGTTTAACACATGATCACCTTGTCATCTGGCCATGCAAGAGTTGTGCCAAATGCGTCTTCCAAAGTCACAATTTCATCAGATGGCCTCCAAACTGCTGCATCACTTACCTTCACGATATCTACCCACACCTTAACTCCATTAGAACCCAAGGGAACAAAATGGACCTTCATATCTGGGTCATTTGAAACCCATCGTCCTTCAGCAACTACCCGCTTCCTTCCGGTAATATCCATCAGCTTGCACTTCTTATTCTCCTTTGAAACAACTTGATTACTAATACGCTGCCAATATAAATAAACCAACAGTCAGAAGACTAAGCATAAGCAACTTAATAACATATCCAAAACATCTACCTGAGATTTTCGAAGAGGAGACTGTGAATCTGGAAGAGTTTTCTTCATTGGAGAGCTTGTACCTGTTGCATCCTCAATAGGAGATTCAGAACCTGTACCTGTTGTAGATTTAGGGCCTGATGTTACAGATTTTGCACCTGGTACAGATTTAGAACCTGATACAGTTGCTGCAGAATTCTGAAGAGGAGATTTGTGACCTGTTGTTGAATTTTCAAAAACAACTTTACTGACAGGCCAAGATACAAAAGCCATAACACAGTCCTCAAGGTATGTCATTTCCATGGTAGGCCTCCATATAAAAGTTTCAGGCTGATGGACTTGATCCACAAATACTTTAACTGCCTTTGGTCCGAGAGGGAGTCCATTAACCAATGCGCTTGGTTCTTGTGTCTGCCAACGACCTTCAGCAACAATCACTTCATCGCTAGACAAATCTAGTAGTTTGCATTTGTTCAGAGAATTTGTTCTAAGACCCTATCAAACGGTTTCAAAACAGAAATTGAATCAGTATATTGATCATGATTCTATCTATCAAGTAATATGGTTCTAGCTGAAAACTAAAATTTACCAGAGGCGCAATATCTTCTATTTGGATGTCCTTGTCAACTAGAACACACTTAGAGGCTGGCCAAGCAATTATTTGTCCAACAGCTTCCTCAACCGTGAACATGTTACTTGCTGGTCTCCAAAGGAATGCATCTGGTTTGGTAGCAGTTTCTACCAACACTTTAAGATCTGTAGGGCCTAGGCGACAGTTATTCACCAAGTCATCAGGATCAGAAGAAAGAATTCGCCCCTCAGCAATGTTTTCATCAGAATCAGACCAATCATACAACACACACTTTGGGAGTGCTCTTTTGTTCACACTCTACAAAATATTGATTTGAAAAATGTCAATTATAAAATAAAAATAAGGAATCACTGATATCAGACATTGATGTGATCTAACTTACTCTAGCAGCTGAGTTTTCACCTATTTCAGCTTCTTGTCTCTGTAATATTTAAAACTAGTCAAAATCTATGTAATAACTCAGCAACTAAATGTATAATTTGAGAACTAATAAAGTATCTAACCTGATTCTTGATTTTCAGTAATTCCTCTTGTAATTCATTGACCTTCTTAACCAATTGAACTTGCTTCTCTTGCATGTCAGTCATACATTTGGTCTTTATTTGGAAACAAGCTAATTTTGTCTTACTCATGCCTCTACCCATTGCCCTGAGCCGACCAGGATTGTCAGGTCCTAGAAGTTGGGAGAGGTGATCTTCTTCTGGATTTGTTGTCAATGTTGGAGCATCACTACCAACCAGCTCAGCTGCCTTTTTCTGCAAACAAAAAATACAGATTCTGAGTCTAACATGTAAGAGAACCAAATTCAAATACACATTCTGTGACTAATTTGCAACTTACAATCTTCTCAGCTGCATTCGTATTCACTGGCGTACCATCTTTTTTGGTACGCGACTTGACCCACACCTTCAGCCTAGTCACTTCTGATGGATCTCCACTTTCAATTTTCTGGAAAAAAAGGTAAAATATCATTAAGGGTATATGGTATATAACTGTAAACTTACAAGTAGAAATATGCTTACCATATCCTCTGCTAGTCTGACCATTCCTTTACGACTAGTAGTGTGAGGAATCTGTTTCCTTCTCCTTTCTTTATATTTATCACTCACAACCTGATAATTAAACATGTTAATCACCAACAGACCATCAAATAAACATAACAGTTGAAATCAATACCTTAAAGCTTGCACTTGTTTTGATTTTCACAAATTTCCGCCAATCAGCTGGATTAATATTATTTGGTCTCAGATTCATCCTCTGTTGGTTATTAGTATCCCCATTAATGTCCCTCACTATGCGGGATTTGTATGATCTCCACAAATTTCCCATTTGCTTTAGCACAGCAACCTTTTGAAACTCTTCATCCAGCTCAAATCTTGCCTGCATTCACTTGCCAAGAAAACATGTAAAAAACTTAAACTGCTCTTAAGTTATGGAAAAAAAGAAATGCTCAAATTGGATAGAAAACATTACCTGAATAGATTTCCAGAGAACAGTTTTGATTTCTTCGCTAACATTCTTCCAAGTATCAATTGTGATTGGTACATGTTCCCGTACCAATGGACCTACATAAGATGACAACTTCACTGATCCCGGACCATAAGGATCTCCCATGAGAGTGTAGTCAACTCTTTCTCGAACATTTGGATCCTTTGCGATGTTTTTCATCTTTGTTGGTCCTCTATGTCTCTTGCGCTTAGCTGGACGCTCATTCTCATCTGTCAACTGAAGCTCACCTTCAGGTTCTTCCTCATTGTTAGCAGTCACTTCAGCTGCTTCAGTCACGTCTACATCTGATCTATGCTCTTCTTCTTGTACTTCAGCAGCTTCAGTCTCTTGTTCTCCTTGTACTTCAGCAGCTTCAGTCTCTTGTTCTCCTTGTACTTCAGCTGCCTCAGTCTGTGGTTCCACAGTACATATAAATTCTGGTTCATCAGTGTCTTTTGCAGCCTTACTTTTCTTTTTTTGTCCACCCTTCTTCTTTGGACGCCCCATATCAGTTCAACTGCATGTAAGAACAATAAATTAGAACATGTTGATGCTGATAAAATACATTTAACAGAAAATCTAAATGACAGTGATGTATAATAAAGACTAGGCAGACACCAGACAGAGTATAAACAAGACAAGCTGAAAATGAACAAGAAGCTACATTTGACACATATATGCCTTCACAATCAGTTCTAGCATTTTCAGCTTCATCCATCTCAAGATCCATGTCAACATCTGATGGCAATGGTCCAATATCTGCATTTCCGTCTTCAACATCTTCCTTACTGTATCTTCTTGAAGAACCTTTCATGACAACATACCAACTTGATGAATCATCTTCTCTTGAATAAAACACTTGTTTTGCCTGAGAGGCTAATATGTATGGATCCCTCAAGAAGCTGACTTGACTTTGATTCAAGTTAACAAGCGTGAAACCATCTTCGACCTTAACTCCATTACCTCTTACTGCCCATTGACATCGGAATAGAGGTACATAAAACACATTGTAATCAAGTAGTATGATATCAGTGACTCTCCCATAGTATGATACCAAATCAAACACTTGTGAAGTATCTTTAGCACTAGATCTACACATAGCAGTAGCCTCATAATAAACCCCACTATTCTGACTTTTTCTTTGAAGTGAGCTTGTGTGAAACCGTTGACCATTAACTATATACCCTGTATAAGACCTAGCACTACACCGAGGACCATAAGCCAACCACTTAAGAGTATCTTCATGTCCATTTGAAACTATTGGTATCTACCAAATGTAAAAAAAACAAAGAACAGTCAGAAACAAAAGGATATGAAAACCAGAATCATGAATGCATACCATTCAGATATATTATTACTTGCCTGCTCTTTTAACCAAGTAGCAAATTTCTGAGCATGCATAGTCCACAACAGTGATGCTTCACGTCTACATCTTGGATATGAGTCTTGTAGATATTGCAGGTGCATGCTTGAAAAACAAAAAAAAAATGAACAATTAGTCTCAGCGGATACCAAAGAAACAAATCAAGTAAGAAGATATTACAGAAACTTACTCCACATAAGGATCCAAGGCAGCAATATTCTGAATGACAGCAAGATGTGCTATATTTTTCTCCATTTCAGTGAGAGTAAATGAAGTGCCTGCGGATATAGGCCGACCTTCTAGAATAGAGATATTCTCATACTCTGTATTTCTATCCAGTTTTTCTTCTACACTAGTTGACTTTTTCAGAAAATCACTACAAAACTGCACACATTCTTCTGCAAGGTAAGACTCTGCGATACAACCTTCCGGTTTTGCAGGATTTCTAACAAAGTCTTTCAGAACTTTCATGTACCTGCAAAGTATTAAATATAAACATTAGTAATGAAACAGATTTTGTGTTTTCAAGAATAAAAAGGATGAAGTATATAACAGAAGCTATACCTTTCAAATGGGTACATCCATCTAAAATGGACTGGTCCTCCAAGACGAGCTTCCCTTCCTAGATGAACTGTCAAGTGTACCATGATATCAAAGAAGCTGGGTGGGAAAAATCTTTCAAACATACAGAGAGTTTCAACTATTTCAGCTTCCATTACTGAAATCTGCTCCCTGTCAATAACTCGCTGACACAACATGTTGAAGAATGCGCATAAGCGAAAGATTGCTGTCCTAGGTCCTTTTGGTAACAATCCTCTAAGTGCAACTGGGAGTAGCTGTTGCATCAATACATGATAATCATGTGATTTGAGACCTGTTATCTTACACTCCTCTAATGATACACCCCTTGATATATTAGAGCAATATCCATCTGGACCTTTAAAATCAAAAAGCCGCTTGCAGAAAATTTTCTTCTCTTTCTTTGATAAAGACCAAGGAGCTGCTGGAAGGTAAGTTCTCTTTCCTTGTGTACTAGGATGTAAATCCTTTCTTATCCCAAGTTCTTGCAAATCTTTACGAGCATTAAGACCATCCTTTGATTTTCCACAATGCAACAATGTAGAGACAATGCTTGCAGCCACATTTCTCTCTACATGCATTACATCCAAATTATGTCTCACCGGGAGATCCTAGCAAATACAACAAAACCAAACTTAAACCCATAGTATAATTGACTAATTCTGAAAGTTAATCAATTAAACATACCTCCCAATACTCCAGCTTGAACAAAATGGATCTTTTCTTCCATCTTGATAATTCTTCCTCGTCAACTGCTACTTCTTCCTCTTCTTCTGATTCACTGGATTCATCATCAATATCAGATCCTGAGTCAAGATATTCAGTCCTTTTTCTCTTCCTTCCAGATTCTTTAGCATTACCAAAATCGTTTTTGAAGTTTCTCAGATTTTGGGAAATTTCACGACCAGTTAATATTCTAGCCTTTCTCCCATGTTCAGCTTTCCCATCAAACCATGCCTTCTTATCCCGATAACTATGTGTTGGTGCTAATCCCTTTCTATGACACATAAAAACATGCTTTCTGCTAAATTTCAGCCACATACTATCTGTGTTTTTTCCACATATAGGACATCCCATTTTACCCTTAACTTTGCAGCCTGCAAGATTTCCATAAGCAGGAAAATCACTAATAGTCCAAAGAAGCATTGCCTTAAGAGTAAAAATATTTTTACTAAAGGCATCATAAGTCAACTCTCCCTTCTTCCACAGATGGTTTAAATCATCTATTAGTGGTTCTAAGTAAACATCAATACTATTACCAGGCTGTTGTGGTCCAGGAATCAACAAGGTAAGCATGATGTTCTCCTTCTTCATACATAAGTGAGGAGGCAGATTATAATTAACTAACAGAACAGGCCAACAACTATACCTAGTATTCTTCATGTTGAACGGATTAAATCCATCTGTGGAAAGTCCAAGCCGGATGTTCCTTTCTTCAGCTGCAAAGGAAGGGTATTTGTCATCCATTTTTTTCCAAGTAACAGAATCTACAGGATGACGGAGTTTTCCATCGCTGCTCTTGTTACTAAAATGCCACCTTAAGTCCTTCGCCATTTCCACAGTTCTGAACATTCTCTTAAGCCGTGGGATTATTGGAAAGTATCTCAATACTTTCTGTGGGACACCTTTCTTTACTTCACCAGTGTGCATGTTAACCTTCCACCTTGAAGCCTTGCATTTTGGACAATTATCGAGCTTCTTGTACTTCTTTCTGAATAGGCAACAATCATTTACACACGCATGGATCTTCTCATATCCCATATCAAAGCTCTCAAAAACTTCTTCACATCATACAATGATGTGTGAAGCACATTCTCCTTGGGTAACATCTTTGGCAATGTCTCAAGCAGTTCATTGAAGCTCTTGTCAGACCAGCCATTATTTGTCTTAATTCTAAACAGCTCCACAATAGCTGATAGCTTGCTATGGTTCGCACAACTTGGATACAATGGTGTCTCCGCATCTGCTAGCTTTGCAAGAAACTCATCTTCTCTCTTGTCTTCACCTTCAGCTATCTCAACTAAGTCACCCTCTACAATCTCACCTAAGTCACCTTTACTAGCTAACTCTTCATCTAAATATTCAGCAGCTTTATATAAGTCAAATATCTCCTCATTCCAGTGGTTCACTTTGCTTTCTACTTCAGCCCCAGAGCTCACTTCTCCATGATGATACCAATCACTCCGCCGCTTGTATGCCTCATCCATTCCTCTTGTTACAAGATGATCAACCACATCACTGCCCGAGTGACGATCAATATTACGGCAGTCGATGCATGGACAAACTAGCTTATCAATGTCTCCTAAAGCCTCAGTCACAGCTCGTACAAATTTTCGAGCACCTCTCTCATAAGCAGGATCAACTCTTAAGAATAGAAGGGAAAAAAAAAAAACTCTTAAAGTAATTTAAGAGTTGTCCAACATTTAAACTGTTAAAGTATTTTAATTCCTTACCTGCAGAGATGGACCCATGACTTGTCCAACATTATATGTACTAAGCGTAAGTAAGACCTTTAGAACAACAATTCAACCATAAGATACCATCTCAAGTTCTAGATAAGACATTAACACAATCTGAAACTCAAACATCTAACTGTGGTCAAGATAATACATTATATTAACACAAAGACAACAACACAAACTGACAAGAACACAAACACATAATATCTGACAATTATTATCTCAAGTTCAGATACTTAAAGCACTACACTAAGTTTAACTCTTCACACACTTAAAACATTACACTATGTTTAACTCAAACTCAAATATAACTCAAACACATTATAAATAACAAAAAAAAGTTGAAGAACAAACCAAAACAATAGTAAGAGAAAGAAAAACTACAAAATTAGTTTAGGACTAACCTGTGAGTGATTACAACAACAAGATAAGCTTCAGTTCCCCAATAATGCAATCACCAACACTTGCAAAACAATAAAATTAGTTTAGTCAATATCCTATTTAACAATAAAATCGATTAAAACTTTCAAAACCAAAACACTATTCTCGTTTCTTCATCAGGCGAAGCTCAAAACTATAAACTAAAGCACGAGCACAGATAACTAATTCTCATTCACAGACATGCAAAAGGATAGCACTTAATAGAAAACAGATCGATTAATATAAACCCTAGATTTGAAACATGGCTTGGATTTGAGCTTAATCGCGAATACAGTTCAATTAAAAACAGTTCAAATCATATGAACCCTAAAATCGCAGAGAGAAATTAAAAAAAAAACAGATAGAAATCGATAATTTCAAGCTTGGAATCGAGCATATATTGAGCGAAATCGATAATTTCAAGGACTGCAATCAAATCTAAACAAGTCGAAATCACATTGAAATGAGAGAAAGAATGTAGTTAGAGTTGGGAAGAAAGAGATGCCTTCGATTTGAGCTAGAGAATGTGTCTGCGGCGGCGCTGGAGAATGTGTCTGCGGCGGCGCTGGAGAATGTGACTGCGGAGGAACAGAAATTTATGGCCGGCGACAAGCTTGGAATCGATTTATGGCCGGCGACAAGCTTGGATTAGAGAGAAATCGTGGATCTGAGAAGTTTAGGTTTTGTTACTAAAGAGAGTGAACAAAGGGAAAAGTTTGTGTTTTCTCGAGAACAGAGGGAAAAGTTAATTATTTTGGCTAAGTGTTGGCGGAATAGGTCATTTTTGTTTCCCGCTAAAGGATTTGGGGTCTTAGCGTTTATCCGGTGCTATTATAAAGTAACCAAAATTACGAACTCATATTTTATAGCAGTTTAGGAAAATGTGCTATCTTCTACTGCTATCAATGTTGATTTTTCTTGTAGTGATAGAATTCGATTTTAGTTGGTTTATTGCTTTCTAAACAAACATAACCAACTAAAAGTGATTCTAAACCGAAATTAAATAGACTACAATTAACCACTAACCTAACCCGAAAAAACCCATTCGACCCAACTTCTCCTTCTTCATCCAAAATTTTCCTTTTTACTTCGTTTTCTTGTTTTGATTGTTATTAGAGATATTATTGTTTGACTTTGAATGTAATTCATTGACTTCGTTTTCTTGTTTTGATTTCTGCTACCTAATAAAAAAAATAAAAAAATTAAATTCATTTAATTTATCAATCCAAACTGATATACAATTTCGTTTAATTACAAAATCTAAACATTAATCATCCTTTATTATCCCAAAACGATATTTAACCTCGTTTAATTGTAAAATCTAAACTCTAACCGTTTTTTATAAACCCAAACCAATATTTAACCTCGTCTAATTGTAAAATCTAAACCCGTTTATAAACCAAAAATGATATTTAACTCGTTTAATTATAAAATCTAAACCATAACCGTCATTTATAAACTCAAACCGATATATAACTTCGTTTTGGTGGCATATTAGATTTTATAATTAAATGAGTTTACCTTTATTATTACTAGGACTTAGACCTCCCGCGATGTCGCGGGGAAAAAGATTTCAGGCTATTTTGAAGAAAAACAAAATGTCATAATGAATTGAGACAACAAGTTTCAAAACAATTTTTTTAACAATAAATAAAGATATATTTTACAAAAAAATATGATAAAGAAACGTAAACTCTCACAAATACTTTTTAAGATTTGTATTATTATTAGAAAATATTATGGTGAAACAATACGACCATAAATAAAAAATATTACACAAAAATTTATAATGAGTAGATGCAATTTTTCCATTTTCTAAACTATTATAAATATAACTAGCTATAAAAATATATTTATCAAAATATTACGATAAAAAGACGTAATATTTTAAATTGTATTATGTTAAAAAGAGACAATCTTCAGAAAAATTAAATAAATAAGCAAAATAGATATTTATTTAGAAAAAATAATAATGATATAGATAACAAAGTATATATATGAATGTTAAATAGCAAAAAATGTAACTTTCTATAAAAAAAATATCAAACAAAAAGAAATAATAAATTTAAAACACATTTAAAAACATGATATATATACATATATAGAGCTACAAAGAGATGAAAGGTTAAATAGATAAATTGTTTGTAAAAGACACAATTATTAGAACTAAGTGTATGTGCTAAAAAACACGAATAAAACATGGTGACAAGATAATACTCTAGATGAACAGATATAACTTTAGTTAATGCTTTATTCAAAAAAAAGCTTTAGTTAATGCCCTAAAAAATGTATCACAAAAGGCAATGTTGCAACGGTTCATCAAATATACCTAAAGTTGTAAAAATTCATCAAATAAATTAAAGTTTCAATGATTCATCAAATATATCAAATATTGTAACGGTTCATCAAATAAACCAAATGTTACAACGGTTCATTAGATAATCCAAAATATTCATTGGTTCGTCAAATAAACCAAATGTTACTATGTTCTATTAAACGGTAGCAACATATTCATTTATAGTAATTAAAATTAAAAATTTGATGAAGAACTATAATCAAAAGAAGCGACTGTAGAATATACCAAATGTTGCAACGGTTCGTCAAATAAACTAAAGATTACCACGGTTCATAAAATATAACCAAAACTTGCAATAATTTGTCAAATAAACCAAATATTGCAACGGTTCAATTAAACGTTTAAAATTTCATTTAATTATATTTTAGTAACTAAAATTGAAATAATAGTTTAGAGAAAGTTATACCGAAAGACGTGACTATAGATAATTAAATGTTATAATGGTTTATAAAATAAACCAAGAGTTGCATTTGTTCGTGAAATAAACTAAATGTTGCAATGGTTCAACTAAACGGTTGCAACCGTTTACAAAAAGTTACGATTAAAAAAAACGTAACCGTAGAAGACATTTATTCGGATCGCAACTTTCTAAAAAAATTCAACCGTATAATATATATTTTTAGTTTTTCAAAAATTAAATGTTTTAACGATTTATAAAATAAATCAAAAATTATAATTGTTCGTTAAATAAAGTAAATGTTGCAATGGTTCAACTAAACATCGCAATTGTTTATGAGGTGTTACGATAAAAAGATGCAACCGTAGAAAATATTTATTCAGATTGCAACTTTTTGAAAAAACAACCATATAATATATATTTTGGTTTTAAAACCAAAATTTAAATCTATATAATATGAGACATAACTTTAAATAAATAGATGCAACTATGAAGACACAACCGTAAACTGAAAAGATACGACTGTAATTTGCACAAATATAACTGTAAAAAAAACTGTAAATATGTTAACGAAGAGATGGGATAAAAGACACAACCGTAAATATATCAACGAAAAGACGCAACCAAAATAACCGTAAAAAAATAACCAATTTAAACGAAAGGTTGCGATAAAAGACGCAACCGTTCAGATGTGCAAATGATATTTATTAGATTGCTATTATATATAGATTATTATTAAGTGGCAGATTCTGATTGGTTAGAAAAAGATGAGGTGGATAAAATATTGTGAAAACTAACTAATGTGCCATATACTGTACCAAAACTTACCAAAATTGCAACATCCGCTCCACCTTTTCCAATTGTGCCATACATCCTTTGTGAAAAGTCCAAATTACCCTTGAACAAATGCTTCTTTATTTTACCTAATATCATCTTTCCCCCTCGATAACCCCATTTTCTCTGTGTTCAACATTTGAAGCCGCACAAAAAAATCTTCCATCTTCTTCCTCATTTCCAAATCATTTCTAAACATTAGAATTCTTTCGTTTCTCTCTCCATTTCAGAAATTCTCGAGAAGAAGAAGACGTTAGGATTCATAGTTTTCTTCCAACCAAACTCAGATTCTGTTGTCATGACATTCACCCCTTTTTGTTTCCCTAAGGTGAGGCTCAATAAGGATCTCTCCAACTCTTCCATAAACATTGATTCTGGGTATATGTATTCCATCTCTCTTCTCCGGAAACCGTTGATTTTGGATTTGTAGAACTAACCAAAATTCTCTTCATTTTAATTTCCATAGTGCAAGACAACAAATCCGGTTCAAGTCGTCGCTTCGATCTCTTACGTTATCGCGATCAATCCCTCTAACTCCCTGAACAAACTTCTCCCCGCGGTTTCGTCACCATCTAGGTTTGTCTCTTTCATCACTTTTTGTTATAGACAAGTTCGCGAACTGGTAGACAGGTTTCGTCTGATTCCCACAACTCTTCACTAACCACTATTTCTCTTATGTTGTCCATCAGATCGAAGACATCGTATCCGGTTCAAGACGCCTCTTCGGATCCCTCCGAATCGATGCATGATCCCCCTTATTCCTCCAACGAATTTCTCCTGCTGGATTCCTCTCTATCTAAGTATGTCTATTCGGATATCATGTCTATTCCCTCAAATTTTAGTATAATAGACAAATTTGTTGCATGGACCAAATACAACAAAATAACTTATCCATTATTTCAACAAGTCCAGATTAGTGTGTCGGTTATCATTCAGCCCATTTGGTGCCAGATCCGGATTCTCAGAACTATCTCCCTTCCAGAATCTGTACCACTGCCAAGGTTTGCCTATTGCATGCGACTGTTTTTTATGGACAAGTTTTGCAGAGGACAACTTTTGAATTTAATTATATTTTGTCTTCCAAACATTTTGTACTGCCTAATACCTTATATAACGGTGTCCACCTATAGATGTGGACAATGTTGTTAAGTTTGTAACTCTATCTGTCAACATATGAAACATTTTGTCCTCTCTCTATTTTAAAGTTTAGTAACATGTCCTCATATTTTTGTAGACAACACGAATCTATTTCTACACACACAACTTTATGTGGGAATTTGTCCTTACCCTTTACATTGATGTTCGTAAATCCAACAAGTTTGTAAATCTCCATGGACAAGTTTTGCTATGTCCTACGAAATTTGGTCTACTAAATCTCTCCAATCTCTTTCTTAAACAATCGTCTTTAGTTGCTAAATATTCGTACCTAACAGTCTTTCACCGAAGAAACGTGGCATTGTCCACAATAAATGCCAAACGGTTCACGTCACATCACGTGCACCAACCTTACTCATTAAATTTCTCGCCAAACACAGCAACACATAGCAAGGTTATTTTCGTCTTCTTCTTTATTTCTTAAAGTTCAATTTTGGCATATTTCGAAAGGTTTATGATTTGTGGTAATTTCAGTAAGTTATGCTACAATGAATGACACATTAGACCAAATTTCCTAAAATGATTCACCCCTAAAAGTGAACCCTAGTATTTTCCAAATAAAAACCCTTTGTAGCAAGTAGCAACTAATTAAGGGGGGTGTATTGTATTAAGAACTTTGAAAGATCTGGTGGAATTTGAATATTTTAGAATTTTGAGTGATTAGAGAGAATTTTAAGGAAATTTTGGTTGATTTGTTAGATTTTTATTCCATTTTTATTTTAAAAAAAGAAAAAATGATAGGTGATTTTAATGAAATGAGTGATTAGAGAGGCTTTTGCACATGGACGATGAATTAAGCTCCAAAACTGTTTTCCAAACAAGAGTATTGAGAAGAAGTCATACGATCTTTTAAATAAGAGGTAGTTGTGAAAATATTCATAAGAGGTCACACGATCTATTTAACCTACAGTGGTCACACGATCGTGTAACGATCATTACACAAACGAATACAAAAGCAGAACATAACCAATAGCACCACAAGGTCCACAATAAAGACTACATAGGAATTAATAATTATCTTAAAGCTGATATCAATATTCACAGATACGTATACAGATTTATTTAAATACTTCAAAACAACTATTATAGAGAATCGAGATGGTATAATATGATAAACTGACTGAGAATTTGATCCAAGTCAGCACAACACTTACCAGTCTAAAATTAAAAACTGATTGAGACAGAGAGAAAGATTGCTTGAAGAAGACGAAGACAAAGGATGAAACTTTCTTCTCATTTCAATTAAAAAACCCATTTTTTCTCTGGGTTTTTCTTTCTCATGTGATTGCGCAATTGGTTCTTATCGTTTTCTCGCAATCATTACCATTTCTTCCAAATCAACACGCTCAATTTCCGATTTTTCTTAGAAATTTCCTCGGAAAATTTTGGTTGTTCCTATTTCATTCGTGTGAGATTTGACTACTTAAACGCTCAGATGAAGTCATGATAATTAAGAAGCACAAGAGAGAGGAAATTTGAGTACTTCTTTGGTCAAGTTTTTGGGGATTTGGTTGGGATTTAGTCAGCTTCGAAGTGAGGAGCTGAAGATGGAGAACGGCCACGAGGAGAGATTGGCCGATAGATTTTCCGGAGTGGGTCTTGAAGATTCTTTTCGTTCGGCTGAGAACGAGTTTAAAGAACGACAACTTGTTTCAGGTCATCAAAGCTGTTGAAGCAGCAGAAACCACCATCAAGGCGCAGGTCTGGTTCTCTCTCTGTGTCTCTATTTTTTTTTCTCTTACGAGACTATTTTTAAGAAAAAAATAGAATCCTTCAAAGTTGCACCTCTATATGTGGTATTTTCCCACTCCTCTTTTTCAACTAAAAAAATTAAAAGAGTCTCCTAAAATCACTTCTAGTAGGCTTTTAAAAAAGAATTGTTATGTTTTGAATAACAGTAGGTTTGGTATGATATTTACAAGTTGTCGATTGAATAACAAGAGACTGTGAAATATTTTAAGTGATTTTACATAAGTTCCAACTTCAATAACACAGAATTTGAGAAAAAATTTAAAAATCAACAGTTGAATAACAGGTGATTTTAATAAAAAACCATAATCATCTAAAATTCTTAAACCAATACACCCCCCTAATAAATCTTCTAAATTCTTGCGAATATGAACCAACTAACTAACAGAATATCACCTAAAAATAGTATAAAGAGAGAGTAACATATTGTGTTGTATTTTAACAAAAAAACAACTGGCATTGAAGAAACCAATAGGATTTGTTATAATAAGTCATTACCAAAACAAAAAATAGAAAGAAAAAACGGATATGCATGGCAAAACAAATACAATTTCTGTTTGTTAAGATGAAACATCCTTCAACGTCCTTACGCGTCATCATCATCCTTACATGGAGGTTCTTGATCTTCTTCTCCCAATCATTCTTCCTTAATCCATTTTCTCTTCTCTATCTCTATCCAAATCCCCTAACAATTCTCCCAAAACATATCTTCTCAATTTGATATCTATTGTTCGTTTGTTTCCTTTCTCCCATTCTTGGATCTGCTGAAGAAGCCACAAGGGGCTTTGTTCACGAGCCTCTAAGAAAACCCTATACCATTAATTGGTTGACATGTCAAACCAATATTTAGGTTAGAATTTGTTATCTTTTGTGTGTAAAACTTGAGAACCGATCATGTCATTTAGATCACATTCGACAGGGAGTAGTCAATTCGCAGAGAAGATAACAGAGGATCCTGTAACGTATAAGACGGCACAAAGTACCGTGACGTGCATTTACCAAGCGCATATATCCGGATTTTGGAGGAATGTTACGGTATTGTGGTCCAAGAATGTAATGAATCATTCGCTTATGGTCATGGTGACTAACGTGGAAGGCGATATGAATTATTGTTGTAAGGTTGATCTTAAGCCTTGGCATTTTTGGAACAAGAAAGGCTATAAGTCGTTTGAGGTGGAAGGTAACCCGGTAGAGGTGTATTGGGATTTTAGGTCTGCGAAATTCACGAGTAGTCCAGAGCCGAGCTCAGATTTCTACGTTGCTTTAGTCTCGGAGGAAGAGGTGGTTTTGTTGGTGGGTGATTACAAGAAGAAAGCTTTCAAAAGAACAAAGTCGAGGCCCGCTTTGGTAGAGGCTGCCTTGTTCTACAAGAAAGAAAACGTGTTTGGCAAGAAGTGTTTTACGACGCGGGCTAAGTTTTACGACAGGAAAAAAGAACACGAGATCATCGTGGAAAGCTCGACCTCGGGCCCTAAAGAGCCAGAGATGTGGATAAGCATAGATGGGATTGTGTTAATACAAGTCAAGAATTTGCAATGGAAATTCAGAGGGAATCAGACAGTGCTGGTAGATAAACAACCTGTTCAAGTGTTTTGGGATGTGTATGATTGGTTGTTTAGCACGCCGGGGACAGGCCATGGTTTGTTCATATTCAAACCAGGGACCACCGAAGACAGCGACATGGAAGGAAGTGGTCACGGTGGTGGTGGGAGCGATACAAGTACAGGGAGCAGGTATTATTCGACCAAGAGTAGTAACCCTTGGCCGCCGGAGTTTTGCCTTTTTCTTCATGCATGGAAACTTGAGTAGTATAGTTCTTGGAAACAAGAAGCTTTTGTCTATTATTGTTGTTCCATGTGGCTATAAATCTTATCTTGTTCTTCATCCTTTAATTTATTGACAAATGACAACATCACAGACTCACAGTCATGACTTCAAACAACAATGTTATGCCGTAGAAATATTTGTAATGCTCCGATTGCACGTTACAATTTTTTTCTACCAAACAGCTTTTCTTGTCGTTTTTTTTGTCTTATTTATTTTTGTTTTTTTTTTTTCAATCAAGAATTTGTGAACTTTTGATTCAAATTAACAAAAACAAAACCAAACATTATTGTATTTCCATTAACAACCATTAAAAACTAAAAAATATAAGCAAATATCATTTCTGCGGAATTTAACTGAATAGTAAATCCACAATTAATTTACTCCCATAATGATTGTGAGAGTATATAAATCCACATTTGCGTTATGGAATTTATTTGACTTTCATAAGAATGAAGTTAAATAACATTTATTTATATATGAATATAAATAACTTAAGTTTTAAAATATAGATATATAAACGTAAATAACTTATTTGTAATCATATATATGAAAATTGGATAAATCTCTCCATATGAATGACACATCAACAACTGAAGAGAAAACATGTGTACTTCTCAAAATTAATAACATAAATATTAATAAATAATACATTAATTAATTATGTGACTTCCATTTTCTTTTGCCGTTTCTTAAGCACTACATTTGAGTTTTATAACAATGTTGTCTTTTCCTCTTCCACTTCCACCATGGAGTTTTCAATCTTGAATTTTGTTAGGTCTCTAACACCGAGAACATAACGAAAACCGTTTGCAATTTTCTATTGTTTATTTCGAATACAATTTGATGTATTTTTTTGTTAATTTTGAATGTTATAAAAAGTTTTAAATATTATAAAACGGTTTAAACCATCAAAACATAAAGTAGAATGGAAAAGGTTTATATATCATATATTCATATTAGATTTTGTGATGTATATTTGTTAACAACACAGAAAACATCGCACAAGATGTAAAAAAAAAGAAAAAGAACATCACATAATCAAACTATGCTAATAGTTTTCATCCAGCCAAAATAATAAGTAAGTAATTATAGTAAATGTAAGGGCAAATGTAAAGGGACATAAAATTTCAAAAAAACTATTTTACATTATTTTCTTTTAGCTATTTTAAAAATATTTATTTCATATAGCAGCATTGTAGTTAACTTTCTTAACATAAATCGTTAATAATCTGAACAATTAGAAAGAAGATATACTTAGGACCTGACATGTCCAAGCAAAAATTCACAACAAGAAAATCTCCAAACTCTGTTTTAGCAGAGAATATATAGATTTTATTTCACTGATGATGACTAACAAGCTATGTCTATAAGACTTGAGCGAGACCCCTAATACACACACACAGACACACACAATAACGAGGGACCAATCCGATGAGTAACCAGCGGCTTTAACCTCTACACTCAGATAGCCGGTCCAAGTCTACACAAATCCCTATCTGAACAATTAGAAAGAATATATATATATACATAATATACATATATCAAACATGATATATAGAAAAACTCGCAGCATAGCACGGGTATTCACCTAGTGTATAAGAAAAGAAGGATATGTGATGTGCTTAAGTTGTACATGATACATATGCATAATTAATATGATCAAGCTGTTCATCAATAGGGACAAGAGGTTATGTTGACTTCCTTCAACGGAATAAGTCTCAACAAGAAGAGAAAGAAGCTCTTTCTCAGGTTAGTGATCTACAGATTCTGTACTTTTGATTCTTAATGTGCTGCTTAATGGTCAAATCTATTGGAACTTTCTTTTTTTGAGCTGTTGGTTTTGTGTTAATTTTGTTGGCTGCAAATTGTCATATGTGGTAATTGTCATTTATATTGAATGTGAGTTAGATCTTATTCACTTGAATTTCATAGGTTGATTCCGATTCATGTTGTTTTGTTAGACTCTGAATGTGGATGAACCTTACCGACTTTCTGGTTTGCTTTTTCCACCGTCTTCTTCCTTTCCTCCGGCGTTTAGCATCCATCCTCGCCGCTGCAGCTTTTTCCGGTGATGCTTTTTCTTCCTCCTTTTCCGGCGTTTGTTTTTCTCTCTTCGATTACTCTCACAAGACCAGCCTCTCATGAAAAAATGTACCCGTTTTCACCGAACCTGGTTTTCTCTCTCGTGGTGGCTTGTACGGACGGTGACGAAATGATGCTTTTGGATCCCCGACAATAGATCTGAGCTCCTCTCGTTCTCCCCTACCCATCCATCATAATTTTTCCCTTCGATCTATTCTAAATGGGCGTAGATCTTCATTGTCTTTCATCTTCTTCACCAAATAGAGATTTTTTCTTAGAGATGATGATTCTCTTATCTCTCGTAGTCTCACTCCATGACGAATCCGTAGAATAATTCTAGCAATTGCTAAGTTTTGATGATGTGTGAGACTTTTTACTCTCGAATGTTCTTGGCCCAAGGAAAAGTTACCATATTCACAAGATTCCATAAGTTTGTTGTTTTATTCTGACGGTGCGGCTTGCCGCCGTCAAGACAATTCTCTAGCTTGGCCACTAAACTTCTCTTGCCGGTTGTCACGACCATAGCTGGTCCCTTCTCGGCCTCACGACCATAGCTGGTCCCTTCTCGGCCTCCATGGCTGAAGATTTTTGTTCGCAGAAGCTCTCCTTTGCACCCTCCTTCCACCGGTTGACTCGTATACCGGTGAGACAAGCGTTGGCTTCGTGTCTCCTTCACCTGGGTGAAGCGGTCTTCACCGCACAACCACCAATCCTCACCACCGAACCTCACCGCTGCTCCGTCTCCGATATGACCGAGCTAGGTCAACAAAGTATCAAATTAGTATATTTGCGATTAAACCGGGTTTGGGCTTGGCCCATTTATGTTTCTATTCGGGTCTGTTTAGGCCTTGAAAATTTTATGGGTTTAAAGCCTGTTTGGCCCACCAAAATGATAATGTTATGGGTCTGGTCCATTAGTCTTTGGAAGTGGACTTGTTCTCGACATGTTAGAAGCTTGGTTTTGAGGTCCAATTGTATTATCCAAATTTTAACATATTCCTCCTTTCTTATGGAGAGTATTTTTTCAATTATTAGTACGGTGGGGATTTACTCTCTCTCCGAAAATAATAGATGAGGATTCTAGCGTGGAATTGTCAAGGGGCGGGTGTGGAACTTACTACCCGTCGACTAGAAGATATGTGTCGTATGTATTCTCCAGGCTTCTTTTTTTATCGGAGACTAAAAATGACCGTGTGCACCTTCCGAATATGCAAGTATCTTTAGGTTTTGACTCCCTTCAAATTGTTGAACCTATTGGTAACAGTGGTGGTCTTGCTCTTATGTATACAAAAGATTATCCAGTTAAGTTTGTTTTTGTTAGTGATCACTGATTGATATTGAGACTATTATTGATGGAAACCGTGTTTTTATTACTTTTGTCTATGGAGATCTGGCAGTTTAATACAGAGAATTAGTTTGGGAACGCTTGACGTGCATTGGCATTACTCGTTCTGATCCATGGTTTACGATCGGTGATTTTAACGAAATTACCGGAAACCATGAGAAGAGAGGCGGTAAACGTAGGTCCGAATCGTCGTTCCTTCCTTTCCGTTGTATGATTGAAAATTGTGGAATGATCGAGGTTCCATCTTAGGGCAACTTGTTCTCCTAGGTGGGGCGTCGTAGTTGTGGAGTTACGGGTCGGAGAGTTCGTCGTCTTATCAAATCGCGGTTAGATAGAGTTTTGGGTAATGAAGAATGGCACTCAATTTTTTTTCCACACTAATGTGGTGTATTTAAAATTATGGGGCTCTGATCATAGACCCCTCCTAGCTTCAATCCAGAATAGTCCTCACTGGTTTGTCAAAAATTTTATTTTTGATAAAAGATGAATTGGTAAACCGGGGTTTAAAGAATCGGTCATTCAAGGCTGGACTTTCCCTTCCCAAGAAGGTGTTCTTCTTTTGCAAAAAGTTTCAAGCTGTAGAAAAACTATCTCTATTTGGAAGAAATCGAGTTCTACAAACGCTGAGAAGTTGATTCTAGCCTTACAGAATCAAATTGACCAAGCCCAGGAAGACGAGTCCATCTCTGCAGAAGATTTGTTAGCCCTAAAATGGAAGCTATGCGATGCCTACAGAGAAGAGGAGATCTTTTGGAGGGCAAAGAGTAGGGAAACGTGGTTCCAAGTCGGCGATAAGTACACTAAATACTTCCATGCTATTACCAAGAAAAGAAGAGCAAAAAACAAGATCATTGGGTTGTTAAACCAAGATGGTATGTGGGTGGATAGAGAAGTGGATATAGAGGGTTTAGCGGTACACTACTTCAGAGACATCTTCACTACTTCAGAACCATAAGACTTCCATTCCGCCCTTAGGGACGTGCCAGTTTTGATCACGGAAGCTATGAACCAGAATCTTATAAAAGAAATTTCCCCAGAGGAAGTTAGATGAGCCCTCTTTTCTCTCAACCCGGACCAAGCTCCGGGTCCGGATGGAATGACAGCCCTCTTCTACCAACGGTTCTGGGATTTGACCGGGTCGGACTTAGTAAAAGTAGTTCAAGACTTCCATTCATCAGGCTCTTTCGATAAGCGATTGAATGAGACAAATATATGTTTGATTCCAAAAACCGATAAACCGAGGAAAATGACGGAGTTCCGACCAATTAGCTTGTGTAATGTTAGTTACAAAGTTATTTCAAAGGTCCTTAGCTCCCGTCTTAAAAAACTTCTTCTGGAATTAATATCCGAGACTCAATCCGCCTTTGTGTCGGGAAGACTCATTACGGACAACATTCTTATAGCGCAAGAAAATTTTCATGCTCTTCGAACCAATCCGGCATGCAAGAAAAGGTTTATGGTTATAAAGACGGACATGAGTAAAGCATATGATCGAGTAGAATGGTCCTTTTTACAAGCCCTAATGCTCAAAATGGGCTTCGCTCAGAAATGGGTAGATTTGATATCTTTTTGCATTTCCTCAGACTCTTATAAAGTTCTTTTGAATGGAGCACCGAGAGGGTCCATTAAACCAACGAGGGGAACTCGACAAGGGGACCCTATTTCTCCTTTCCTATTTATTTTGTGTACCGAAGCTCTGGTCGCTAACCTCAAAGAAGCAGAATGGCATGGCCGAATCCAAAGTCTTCAAATATCTCGTGCTAGCCCTTCTACCTCCCACCTCAGCTTCGCGGACGATAGCTTATTTTTCTATAAAGCCGACCCAATCCAAGGTGAGGAAATCATCAAAATTCTCCGCGTTTACGGCGAGGCTTCGGGACAACAGTTAAATACTGCAAAGTCCTCGGTTATGTTTGGCCATGATGTTGATAACTCAACACGAAATTGATGTCCTCATCAAATACTATCAAGGAGAATTTGGGTATTTTCAAAGACGGGGGCATGGGGTCATACTTGGGATTACCAGAGAAGATTCATGGCTCCAAAACTCAAGTTTTCGCTTTCGTTAAGGATAGGCTTCAAAAACGACTTAATACTTGGTCCGCTAAATTCTTGTCCAAAGGAGGCAAAGAGGTCCTTATAAAATATGTAGCACAGGCCCTTCCGACATACGTCATATCGTGTTTTCTCCTCCCCAAGGCTATCCGCTCAAAGTTGAGTAGTGCAATTGCGAATTTCTGGTGGAAAACTAATGAAAATAGTAAAGGTATCCACTGGATTGCTTGGAATAAGCTTTGCACGCCACACTCCGATGGCGGCTTGGGCTTTAGAACACTTGAAGAGTTTAATCTTGCTCTTTTAGCAAAAAAACTTTGGCGCCTCCTTAGATACCCAAATTCTCTTTTGAGCAGGGTCCTGAGGGGTAGATATTTTCGATTTAGTGATCCTCTACATATTGGAAATTCTAACCGTCCCTCCTATGGATGGAGGAGTATTATGGCGGCCAAACCACTACTTGTTTTGGGCCGTCGACGGACCATTGGCTCTGGAATGTTAACCCGAGTTTGGGAAGGCCCGTGGATTCCCACCATTCCTGCGCGACCCGTAAAGAGCATTCTTAACATTCGAGATCCACATCTCTATGTTAATGACCTCATCGACCAAACCACGAAAACGTGGAAATTGGATCGCATTCAATCTTTGATTGATCCTGTAGATATTCCACTCATATTAGGGATCCGACCAAGTTGTACTTACTTGAGCGATGGTTTTAGTTGGTCTCATACCAAATCAGGAAATTACACGGTAAAGTCCGGTTATTGGGCCGCGAAAGCTCTGTATCGTCCTACTTGTGACCTCCCTTTTCAGGGACCGGGTGTTTCGACACTTCAGGCACAAGTATGGAAGCTTAAAACTACGGGGAAGCTCATGCATTTCGCGTGGCAATGTATCTCGGGTTGTCTAGCCACAAGCCAAAAACTTGTCTACCGACATATTGGTACTGACAAAGGTTGCCCTCGCTGTGGAGGGGAAGAAGAATCTATTAACCATCTTCTTTTTGAATGTCCGCCCTCGAGACAGATTTGGGCATTATCACCTATTCCCTCTTCCGGGCACATCTTTCCTAGAAATTCCCTTTTCTACAACTTCGATTTCCTCTTCTGGCAAGGTCTAGAGTTTGGAATAGAGGAGGATGTTTTAGAACTCTTTCCATGGATACTATGGTATATCTGGAAAAGCCGTAATCGCTTCCTATTTGAAAACTTCAAAGAACCCCCTATGGAAACTTTGGCCTTGGCTTTACGAAAAGCTTCTGTTTGGAAGCAAGCTAACTTGAAAGATGAGGTAGATCCCGAGCCTCTCGGCCGCTCGGCTCAACCCCACTCTTCTCTGCCTCGGATCTCGGAATGCCAGATTGATGCTTCCTGGCATACGGAGGATACCCTAAGTGGACATGGTTGGGTTTTAGTCGACCAAGACAATATTCTTCATCTTGGACTAAAGAGTTCGAGAAGAAGTCTCTCACCGCTCCACGCAGAAATTGATTCTTTGCTTTGGGCAATGGAATGTATGATCTCGTTAGGCATTAACATTGGCGCCTTCGCATCCGATTGCTTTGACATGATTTCTCTCCTCGACAACCAAGACGTTTGGCCAACTTTTGCAGCAGAAATGGCCTCTTTCCGGTCTCTCGTTTGTTTTTTTCCTTCTTTTAATATTAGATTTCTTCCTCGTAGTTGTAATACTCGAGCAGAGTGTTTAGCCAAAAATGATCGAGCTCGAAACAGTCTCTTTTCCCATGTAAGTTCGTCGGTTCCTGATTGGCTCTTTCCGATATCTTAATAAAAATGGTGCTTGATGAAAAAAAAAAAAAAAAAAAAAAGAAAATGTGGATGAATCTTGATGTTGTTTTCAGGATGGGCGTGAAGCCAATCGGGCAGCTCTGAAGATGAAGCTTGCAGCAAAATAAGCAGAGAGGATGAAGAAACTTGTGTCTGCCTACTAGACACAAAAGGGGAAGAAAGAGAGAGAGATTTACAACGTGCTAGAAGAGTCAAGGACTACAAGTCCACCAAACCGGAGTTACAACATGCAAACTTCTGACCTTGAATTTCTTTTTTCTTTTTTCTTTTTTTAAGAAGCTCCTTTAGTACACTGATTCAAATAGTGATTGATTCTTATCAAACAATTTTTCAAACAATATATATATATATATATATATCCATCAAAATCTTTGCCATGGGAGATCCGCCGCCAAGGTGGCCACCTAGCGATTAAATGAAGATTGGGATTGTGCGTATTGAGCTGCCAAAACAGGTTGAAGTCTGTACGCCGAGCCTAATCCACCATATCATTTGATATATATGGATTTAAATATTAAATTCATTAATAAGCGAACTTCAAAGATCAATCTACAATAGATTAAATATATTGAAGATTTTAATATGTCCGAACATTATGAAAATGTAGAATAAATAGTTAACACTTTGCCAAGATTTGTGGAATGCACCCGATGGAAATGGTAGTGAAATGGTCCAATTGAATGACATTAGAAAAGGAGATTCAGGGTAAGGCCTATCACTTGATATCCTAAGTGTTCATGCTTGTAAAGTCAAATGACAATAAAAACAAAGACATTTTGTATGGTAATTAGACTCATGATGTATTACAGTTAAATAATAGCTAGAAGGATTCATTTTCTCGGAGGTAGAATAGATGAGAAAATAATTAACCATGCAATATTTGAATGTCCGCCAATATTATGTGCATGGGCTCTATGCCCAATCCAATCAGTCCTAGAGAGTCTTTTGGTGTACACTGAGTTTATTTAAACTAGATTACATAGTTTGGAGACTACATGATATTTTGAATCATGCCGTAAGTGAGTTCAAGACAGAATAAAACCGGTAATTTCATGTATCCAAGTCTTGGATATTCTAGACCAAATTTTTTTTCTTTAGCAAATGCATATTCGATTTCAGATATATCCTAAAGTTGTAGAATATCACATTAACATTTAAAATTTTGCTATATATGCGTCAAAATTTCCCAAATCCACGTGACAACATGTGGTAACGACAAAGACACGTTGGATGAAAAATCTAAAGATTTTCTGACATCAATCTCCACCGTCTGAGAATCTGATTCAGGTGAAGAAAATCATTGTCGATAACTGAAATTTGACCATTGATTCTTCTGATTTCCACCAATAAAACTCTTTGCACGACGAATCGAAACTCCAAACAAATTAAATCATGGATAAAAGGAATTTAAAAATCACGAAAAAAAATTCTTCTTTTCTTCAACTTTCGTTGAAACTAACTATCCTTGAATTTTCTGTAAACAGTGTACCCAACAAAACAAGCTAGAGAAAATCCACCAAACAACCACTATGTGGATAAACAAATCCACCACATATCCAGTTTTTCTAAATTGATCCGATTCACCATAAGATGGTGAAACTTCGCCTCTGATCCATCGAAAACTGACACATTTGTATAAACACAAAAGATAGGCTTGTTATCTCTCGTGATCAGAAACAGAAACGAACCAAGACAATTCCCCTCTCTTGCAAGCAAACAAACAACGTAACAAAGGCGACGGCAAAGCCTGAACAAAACTCTCTGAGCAAATTAAAAACTTAATCGAAAGTTTCTCTAAAGAGAAGAGAGAGAGAAATAATATTTTTTTGAACCACGCACTAATTATTTAGATATTTGTTATAGCGATTTTATATATAAATTAATGTAAAATATAAAAATAAAATAAAAACATTATGAAAAGAAAATGAATACAAAAATTTTTTTATCGAGAAAGAAAATACGTTTTAGGGGGTATTATTCAATGATGGAGTTAAAATCAATTCTTTAAGGTTTAGATTTGCAATCTGATATTGCTTTTAAGAATATGTTTGTGTGAATTTCAAAATCTCTGCAGTATATCTTGGATTTTGATTCAATAAGTTACTCATGAAACTCCAAAGAGGTTTTATTTCAAATGATTTAATATGCATGGGGTGTTATTGGTTTATTGATTTGTAAATCCATATAGGATTTGAAAATCCTTATTAATTATGAAATCAAGACATATGAATTTTGAAATAACATGTGTTTATTTATGGATTTGAATCCTTCTATTTTTTTCCTTCAAATCCATTTAAAATACAATTTGGATTTTGAAATCTAAATACAAATGACTAAACGAATAACATAGGGTTTTAACTTTTAACTAGTATTTATGAATCATAGAACCAATAGCACATGATTTTAATTAGGATTTTAAAAGCAACGATTGAATAACAAATGATTTTTTTTTTTTTTTGGCATAAGGAGATTTCATTAGAAATTAATCAAGAGTTCTCCATAGAAGGAGGATACAAAAGGCTACTAGGAGCCAAACAAGCAAATTATGTGACCCACAACAATACAACATGGTCAAGCAAATGAGAAAAACTAAAACTACAACAATAGTTCAAACAGAAACATAGAGATAAATGAGAGTTCACAAACTCAACCGAAGAAGCGTACACACATCGGCAACCGAAGACAAACAAATGATTTTTGTTTGAATTTCCATATCCTTATAAATTCATGAACCAATAACCCCGATTTTACAAGTTTTTTAGTTTTAAATAACACTAAATTTTAATAAAATATTTTAAATTTTAGTTGAATAACACCAAACTTTAAAATTATTAAACATGATTTAAAAATATAAGATCCAATAACACCAGATTTTAAAGCTGGATTTAGAATTATTAGTTGTATAACATTGGATTTTGACCCAAAAAAAAAATAAAGTTAGAATAACATTGGATTAGTGTTGAATTTCAATTCTATTAAAATTCAACATTGAATAACAAACCCCATAGCCATTATAAAAGGGTAAAAGTATAGTATTAGTATAAATTTACTAATCAACCGGTTAAGGTTATTAATCAAATGGTTCAGCCACAAAATCATTGAGTTTTCTCATTTACCCATCCCTTTTTAAATCAATTCGACCAAAATCAAAATGTTGTTCTTCCTTCTCAATACTGTTTAAAAACAAGTGAGGGAAAATTCCCGCACATTATTTCCAATAATAATTCAATTTCAAACCCTAAAAATTCGAAAATTCCCCCAAAATCCTCTCTACCCAATGGCATCGGAAAAGCCAGAAGATCCGATGAACAACACCGCCGGAATAGGAACAGACGAGGAGTCTATAGCTCAGCGTCGGAAGCGGCTCCGACGAGTGAGCTTCGCCGACCGGGAAATTACTTCCGTTCACATTTTCAACCGGGACGAAGATTACGAGACGCCGCCAAATACCTCCGCCGCGAAACCACAAAACGGTGATACAGCAGAGCATGAAGATAAAGTAATTAGGTTTTTCGGTGAATTATCTGACCGCGAAGATACTGACGGAGATGGTGATGCTGAATACGAAGCTATATTGGATAAATCATTCTTGAGACCAAAATATTCACCATCTTCAGGAGGTAGTACTGTTGGTTCTGCTACTAGTGATAACGGTACGCTTCAATTACTTTGAATTTAGGGTTTGTTCTTACTCCTGTGAATGAATTTTGAGCTGAATCGATTTTGTTTTCTTAATCAGAAGATAATTTCTTTGGCCCTGTGTCTTCTCATTTTATCAATCCTGGAAGATTGTCGGATACTACTTTCTCTGAAGAGCACCATGAAATGACGATGGATTCTACTGCGTTTTCGATGCATTTTCGGAGTCTTGCGAGGTCAGAGTCTGGAGATGTAAGGACCCCTACGAGTAGTCATCTTCCAGTAGAAGAAAAAACACCAACTGAGGTTACCTCTAGATCTGATACAGGAAGTGCAATGGTGTTAACAGAACCTAAGAAGCTATTTCCAAAATCCCCTGTGCCAGTTGATAAAGGAAGTGGTGGTAGAGACTCGAATGATATGAGTATTGTGGGTGAAAATTCTCGGAAATATGATTACGGTTATATATCTCCTACACTAGCAGCTTTAATGGGAGATGGAAGCAAGGAATTGCTTCCTGAAGATAATACTGTGGAAGCAAGATCACCTATCGATGATTTTTTTTCGTCTCCTCAAAATGGATACATGCCCATAGGTCATGGTATAGATAGCAGTGATGCTTGTCACCCTCAAATAGTGCTGCAGGAATCAGGAAGCTTACGTTACACAAAAGAGGCTTCCCTTTCCTCGTCAGCTATTAGAAGGCAAAGTGCGTTTTTAGTTGGTATGTTGCCTCAGTCCTTATCTTGTGTTACTCCTTCCCCTAAACAGGGTGGAAGCTTTATGAGCAGGGAAACTCGGGCACTAGTTGAGAGCTTGTCAACTATTCAGAAAAGCAAATCCAGACTTGGATTGATTCCACCCTCCCCTGGTTCTGCTCTTTCTCAAAGAATTGAGAAATCAAAGCTACAATTATCCGGACACCGTTCTATGGTTACCCCAGCAACTGGGAGGGAAGAGATAGGTGTCCTCAGGGAAAAGCATGCAGATATACCCATTACCAACTTGGAGGATTTGTTATCAAAACATGATAATAGAACACCAATTTCTGAAAAGAAAAGCATCCCAGATAAGTGTGTTAGTGGTGCATTCAACCCTGCTGTTGACACTAGCGATGATAATAGAACACAAGTTTCAGAAAAGAAAGGCATCCCAGATCGATGCACTAGTGGTGCATTGAGCCCTGCTGTTGACACTAGCGTTGATAGAACACCAGTTTTAGAAAAGAAAGGCATCCCAGATCGATGCACTAGTGGTGCATTGAGCCCTGCTGTTGACACTAGCGATGATAGAACACCAGTTTCAGAAAAGAAAGGATTGAGCCCTGCTGTTGACACTAGCGATGATAGAACACCAGTTTCTGAAAAGAAAGGCATGCCAGATCAACACTGTTGTGGTGCATTGATCCCTGCTGTTGACATAAGCGATGTGTTTGCACGCAGAAGTCCAGAAGGAAATACTAATTCTGAGATAGAAGGTTCACTCTGTAAACAACAACAGAGAAATCAGACAGCCAGCACCCCTGAGAAGTGTGTGTCATCTCTAACAAATTCGTCAAATGCAAAACCGTCAGCATTGAAGAAGTTTGCTACTCGTCCAGATCAAGAGCAGCATAGTAAAGCCATTGAGACTGGGGAGGGAAATGTGACCAAGGAATGTGCTAGTAATTGTTCTATGAATACATTATCCGACAAAGTGGATTCCCTGCTTGCAGAATCTAGCGTATTACTTAGCGAGACAGGCTTCTTGAATGGCTCTGCTCAACAAAAAGAGAAGGACAGTATGCTGAACAAAAATCAAAACAGAACCAACATCAGTGCTTCCCAGAGTCTTCTGAAGGATAATAATCACTTTAAAGTCCATTGTGAAACAGAAGTTATCTCAGCTGAAGACTTTCCTGCTTTAGTTACAAAAAACCTTCCTAGTACCTCTGGCTCTCCATCTATGGACAGGTATGAGAATGAGGCTTCACATGCTAAGGTATAATTCTACACCCATGTATATGTTTTGAAGATCTATCTGTCCACGGGACAAATGGATTACAAAATCCATTTTCTGAACGTGAATAGATCTTTTTGATCTCTGAGATGGTAGTAAATTTCCAAATTGGCCTTTTTACACCAACAGCTGAACCAGATCATTCCTTTATAAGAAGTTAAGAACCCACTAAGAGGTCATTCAGATTGAATATTTTGACTCAGATTCCATGGAAGACCTTGAGCAGTGCATTTCTGAAAGAAATTACTCAGAATGCCGGAGAAGAATTATCATATTTCAGCTATCCCAAAGGATATGTAATGATACAATTTTAGGCTGAGCCAGATTTCTAAACTATAATAATTTGCAGGGACCATCCAGATTGAAAAGGAAAGCAGAAGATGTTGATTGTGCCGGTAGAAGTTGTAGCCCCAAAGTCGGGAGAAGTACACAGTATATTTCGAATTCAGTGATGGACATCCCTAATGGAAACATCGATGCTAACGATTGCCGCAGAGTTCATGAACAAGTGAACTGGGTAGAAGTAAGTACTGTTGATAACCTCTTTGTTATCGGATGCAAGTCCATCGTTTCTTCATACAAATAAGTTACTGTTCCATTACCATGCAGATTCCAGGAAAAGTATCAGAAAAAATCAATCAAATGCTTGCTCCCTTGGAAGATAAGCTGAACTCCAGACTGGTATATTATTCCTCTCTGCGGAAACCCAATCTGGCTACTGAGACTGTTTCCTTTTAGCTTTTATAGTTTCAGTACTAATGTTCCAAAAGTGCAGATATGCAAGCTGGAAGATATATTAACACACATGAAGAAGGTTCATTTGTGTGAGATGCTCTGTCTTCAAATTCAATCTCAGGTCAGCCTATAAGAAAACGTCTGCTATCATTCTTTCTACATAAATATACACTGATGATACTGATGATCTTGTTCTACTTGTAGAAAGTATGTGACGACTTGCGTGGTGCCAAGACAAAGAGGTTCCCCCTGTACTTCCTTTATATATTTGATACAAAACACTAAACAGTATCGATATTCTTTAGAATCAAATAGTGCCAAGTATATAACATTCATTGCGAGTATTATTGCAGACGTGCTGAGAGCAGATCATTACTCTGCAAGTTAGCATACGAAAAAGCCAAACTTGAGTTGCTGCACCTCAAGAAAGAGATAATGATGGTATTTACTTTGTTCCTCTTTTTCAAACTTTCTATTGATTCTGCTTACTTGATCAAATTTCACTTATATGGTATGCAGAAAAAGTTTCAAGCAGTGAGCACCGGTGTACAAACATCCGAAACATTGAGGTTGAATTGTGCGAACTTTCTACGTCAACATGGTTTCCATTCTACTAGCTTGTTGAATCCTGACCAAGCTCAAGAGGTAACTAGACTAGTTTGAAATACCCATAAAAGTAAAAACTGTTGGTGGGTCTTACCTCTTAAAAGATGTAATTATGGCAAATTTCAATAATTAGGACGCCTTAACTCTTTCACAGGCTAAAAATGGTTTTTGGTAAACATGGAACATTTTTCAGGGTGATGATTTCTTTTCACTCTACTGGCAGAAAATTTTATTTGTTTACATCTCAGATGTAATGTTCTTCCCACATGGTCTCATGATATTTTCTAGATCAGAGATGTATGCTATGATTTCTCTTATTTGTAATGCTTTTGCTATTTTCGTGTATTTTGACCCTTGTTTTAATCTAAGTAATTAATAGACTTGTTATCTGTCAACATTTTTCTAGGTTGTTACTAGCAAAGGAGCAGAGATAACACAGGAGATCAAAGAATTGGACTCCAAAATCAAGAACTTGATTCAATGTTTTACGACGTCCGACACGGTGACAGGAGAACCGGCATATGCAGACACTATTATGATTGCTGAAGATACTTTGAAAAAGAGAATGAGTTGCAGATCCATACGTCAGGATATTCTGGTATATACCATCTTATTTCTATAGACATAGGGATCTAAAACAAAGTGTTTTTCTTAACTTGAATTACCCTTCTGCTGTCGGCAGGTCTGGCAAGTTGACAGTTTGGGTGAGTGGAATGATTGTCAGAGCATTGTTCTAAACTATAGTGACGTGTTCAACCAAAGGTTGGTTTTATCTTTCCATAACCTTTTTGAAGAATCTGTTTCCTACACTTTGCTACATATACATGAGCGCTATTTGGAATTTATTGAAATTTTTTTCGGATATGCAGGCTCACATTAAAGCCTGGTCATCCTTCATGTGTACTAGTTTCAAACAGTTTGAGTGATAAATTCGTTAAGGTAAGGGTAACCAAACTGTTGTCCTTCCATTAATACATGTTCTTCTTTTTGTTTCTGATCAAGGCATTGTTCTTCAGCATTTCCCAGAGATGAATGTTTCAATTGCGTTTAACTCTTTGTTTAACGCTGAAGACTCCCGGAAGTATATTGGTGGTTCCAATTTATTGTTGGAGATTACACAGGTGTGTTTCTGTTTCAATTACCTTTTGTTGCTATGGTTCTTTGAATACTATCATAGCATCTTAGGTATTTTTCGATCTTATTGAAATTCTTTTTGCAAGTCATGTTCGCTCTCTCCTTAGTGTTTGTAAGTTCCTTTAGAAGAATCACTTTCTCTGGCTTTATTTTGTGCAAGACTACTAGACCTCTGAAATTTGTCTCATTTTGCTCTGAGAATGCAGAAAACCAGTTTGCTCTTACACAATCTGCTAGATGTGGCTGAGGAATTTCATTTAGCTCAAATGAATATACCAAATTTAGTCCAAGGAAACTTTGATTCTCCATCAGGTAATCTATTTCCTCCTCTCACTTCCCTTTTGGTCATACTAGTTTAACAGTAGTGGCCAATACATGCGCAATTTAGCAATTTTATAATGACTAGTTCTGTCTGAGATAGCAACACTAGTGTCTTGTTGATTGCAGCGGAGCTGCTACATTTGCAGATTAACTTTCTTGATTGCACAAACTTGAGAAAACTAAGCGTGATTCTCGATGTGACATCTTTGATCCAGTAAGTATCTAAGCCGCTCAGTAACTATCAAGTTCTTAAGACTTTCCGATAATTAAACTGTGCTCTCTATTGTAACAGTGGGAAGTATCCTAGTGATGTAGTTCCTTGCGAGTTACGAGAAGTTTCAGGCACAAAAAGAGACGGTGTTGCATCAAAACAACTGAAGAACGAGATAGACTCTGCAATGAATGATGTTGGAGTGGGATATCCTCGAATACTGAGACTCTGTCTTTGCATTTCCAAAGCATTGCAATCACAAAAGAGATGATAACTCATTTTGTAACACTTTAACATTTTACGGGTTTGGTTTTGTAAATATGGCGGAAGGGCTACTACTACTAGTACTAGTGTACTACTAGTACCTTTTGCCATTTTTAATCTTTTAACCAAAAGTTTTAGTTTTGGGTTTTGTATATGTTGGTGAATACGTTAACCAGTCTTCCTCGTTTCGGGTCTTAGTGTAAGATTACCTATAAATATTTTGGTCTCATATAACTTCAAATGTTTGTTTGTTTGCGTTAATTTATCAAAAGTACTGGCTATTCATCAATAGACAATTCATTTGCTATACGACACCATTAACCCCAAAATCTAGATGGTAAATTAGGCGACACCAGTGACACAATGTAAACATATGAAAATGGTGTAGGCCACTCTTATCCAATCTTTTTTAATACCTTACATTGAACCTATTCTGGATTTTGGTTATGGGTTTACTTACTTTATTTGCTACCTTACTGATAAATATGTAGTAATGTTCTTATCATATCTTTCCCAATTTGTAAGACAAGTCATTAAACAGTAACTTTTTTGGTCAAAATATCATATCAGTTACACACAACAATATATGACCAATAAGGATGGTCACATGACCTCTCTCCTTTCCTCACGACACAAAGATCTAAACCAAGGAAGATTCCTATTCCGTTAGCTGATGGTGCAGCAGCTTGGTGTGTAACACATGTAGGGGTCAATATCAGTTGGACATTTGTGGTAGGATCTTGACTCACCAATATCAGCTTGGTGTGTAACACATGTAGTGGTCAATATCACTCCCATTATTCATGTGGTTTTGATAATAATGTATATGTGAGAAATTTCAAGGTGATGTGATTGCAGTTCAAATTATACATTAGAAAAGTCATCTAACGTTGATTTCACTTCAATGACGACTTCACTTAGCTCTCACTTCTTCCACTATGCAAAACTACATCCTTTCATTATTTATACCAATCTCCTCCCCTCTCACATTTCTTATATCAAAAATCGATTCTTTCTTACAAAGTTTTCATCATGTCTGAACCCCTTTTGCGTTTGAATTTTCTTTTGCTACTCTTACTCTCTTGTGTCTCCCCTTCAAGCCTCTTCACGTTTAATAACCCTGTTGTTGGTCTTGGTGCTTGTGGTCCCCATCAGATTCAAGCCTTTACGCAGTTCAAGAACGAGTTTGATACTCGTGCTTGCAACCATAGCGACCCTTGGAATGGAGTGTGGTGCGATAACTCCACGGGCACGGTCACGAAGCTACAACTCGGGGCCTGTCTCAGTGGAACTCTGAAATCCAACAGTAGCCTCTTCCAGTTTCATCAGCTTCGTCACCTTTCTCTCTCTAACAACAAATTCACCCCCTCTTCAATCCTTTCCAAGTTTGGAATGCTCAACAAATTAGAGGTTTTATCACTTTCAAGTAACAGCTTCCTCGGCCAAATTCCTTTTTCATTTAGTAACCTAAGCATGCTTTCAGCTTTAGTCCTTCGCGATAACGAGCTCACTGGTAGTTTATCACTTGTGTGGAGTCTACGCAAGCTCACATACTTAGATGTTTCTCATAATCACTTCTCTGGAACTATGAATCCCAACAGTAGCCTCTTTGAGTTGCACCACCTCACTTACCTTAATCTCGGTTTCAACAACTTCACCTCCTCTTCACTCCCTTATGAACTTGGCAATCTCAACAAACTAGAGTCATTGGATGTATCCTCTAGTAGCTTATTCGGTCAAGTTCCCCCCACAATTAGTAACCTAACCCATGCGAGTTGTACCTTACCTTCAACGACCTCAACGATTGTCTCACAGTTGTACAAAATCTAACCAAGCTCTCCATTCTAGAACTTTCTGAAAATCACTTTTTTGGAACCATCCCTTCTTCTATTTTCAATATGCCTTTCTTATCATATCTTTTATTAAGTGGAAACAATCTCAACGGTTCATTTGAAGCTCCTAACTCCTCTTCAACGTCAATGCTAGAGGGTTTGTACCTAGGTAAAAACCATTTTGAAGGAAAAATCCTAGAACCTATTTCAAAGCTCATCAACCTCAAAGAACTAGACCTTTCTTTCCTAAAAAGAAGCTATCCAATTGACTTAAGTCTCTTCTCCTCTCTCAAATCTTTGTTGCTCCTCGATCTTTCCGGTGATTGGATATCTCAGGCTAGTTTAAGTTCGGATTCATACATTCCATCAACCCTGGAAGCGTTGCGTTTGAAGTACTGCAACATCATAAAGACCCTTCATAATTTGGAGTATATTGCCTTATCAAACAATAGAATCAGTGGGAAAATCCCAGAGTGGTTATGGAGCCTTCCTCGTCTGAGCTCAATGTACATTGGAGATAATTTGTTAACTGGCTTCGAAGGTTCATCAGAAGTTTTAGTAAATTCATCGGTGCAGATCTTAGTTTTGGATTCAAATAGTTTGGAAGGAGCGCTTCCGCATCTACCGCTCTCTATCAACTACTTCTCTACAAAAAACAATAGATTCGGAGGCAACATTCCTCTTTCAATATGCAACAGAAGCTCGCTTGATGTCCTTAATCTAAGCTACAACAACTTCACCGGTCCAATTCCTCCATGTCTGAGTAACCTCTTGATTTTGATTCTTCGAAAAAACAACTTGGAAGGAAGTATTCCAGACAAGTATTATGTTGATACACCTCTACGGTCACTCGACGTTGGCTACAATCGATTAACGGGAAAGCTTCCAAGGTCTCTTCTAAATTGCTCAGCTCTACAGTTTCTAAATGTGGAACACAACCGAATCAAAGATATATTTCCTTTCTCCCTTAAGGCTTTACCGAAATTGCAAGTCCTTATCCTCAGTTCAAACAAATTATATGGTCCTATATCTCCTCCTAATCAAGGTCCTCTGGGATTTCCTGAGCTGCGGATACTTGAGATAGCTGGTAATAAATTAACCGGAAGCTTGCCTCCAGATTTTTTTGTGAATTGGAAAGCATCATCACTCACTATGAATGAAGTGTGGGATCTATATATGGTATATGAGAAGATTCTTTACGGGCAGTATTTCCTCACCTATCATGAAGCTATAGATTTACGATATAAAGGTCTATCTATGGAGCAAGAGAGCGTCCTTACTTCTTACGCCACCATTGATTTTTCTGGAAACAGACTTGAAGGAGAAATTCCTGAATCTATCGGTCTCTTAAAGGCACTGATCGCACTCAACTTATCGAACAACGCCTTCACAGGCCATATTCCTCTGTCTTTGGCCAATCTTGTGAAGCTCGAGTCACTAGACCTATCAAGTAACCAACTCTCAGGGACGATTCCTAATGGACTAGGGACTCTCTCGTTTTTGGAGTACATAAACGTGTCCCACAACCAACTCAACGGTGAAATACCACAAGGAACACAGATTACTGGGCAACCTAAATCATCCTTTGAAGGAAATGCAGGGCTTTGTGGTTTGCCTCTTCAAGAAAGTTGCTTTGGGACTAACACGCCACCAACACAGCCGACTAAAGAAGAGGAAGAAGAGGAACAAGTGTTGAATTGGAAAGGCGTGGCAATAGGGTATGGGGTTGGAGTGTTACTTGGATACAAACCGGAGTGGCTAGCTTGTCTGTTTAAGCGCAGAAACCATTGAGATCTATTTTGTCAAGTTGTTGTTGGTATTGTATTGGAGCATTTCTTTACGTTTGTTGTATCTTTATCTGATGTTTTTGTTCTCTATTAAGTAAGAATGGTGAATTCTCTTTAGATTTTGTTTCTTTTCCTAACGAAAAAAGTAGCAGAGAGGCAGGGAAGAGGGTAAATGGGGGGAGTGATGAAACAGAAGAAAATCAAAATTGGGTTTTAGATTACAAGAAACCATATCAATTCATCACCATTGGCACAAAGACCTAATTTAGATATATGCAAACCCCAGCAGCTTAAATCTCTTTCCAAATATATTCATACCCTAAAGGATCATACCTCGGTACTAAGTCATCATATTTCTTGACCGCTAAAACATAACGAAAAAAGAAGGGCATATACCTCGGGCAGAGTTTTCCCATGATCAGCTTAGCAGAGCAATATGGGCATTAATATAATTCCTCAACGTAATCTTCTTCTTCTTTCAAGTTATTAAGCACACTTGAAGCCATGACAAACCGAGAGGACGATGATGATACTGGAAAATTTACCAAGGACTATGAGCTTAATCTTCATGTTCTGAAACCACATCGTTCTTGTCATTTTTCGTTCTTGGCGTTATGAAACCTTGCGGCTGTAGATATCAGAATTGGAAATATAAGAGCGTGACAAATTAGAAAGGAGATATGTTTGTATCAAAAAGCTCACATATAGAGTGAAAGGTAAGTTACTATACTTAAAACGATGGTCCACTAGAAGTTCGATTTTCTCACTGCAGTCAAGAGCCTGCAAGTTAATGAATTACATAAAGCTTAGTCAGTTTTGCAGAAGTGGATAAGGAGCAGAGAAAATTCAAGTCATATATTCTCAAATGAATGATATAAAATTGTGAGATTGACATGGATATATGATTCTGACCTTCTCAGTGTTCTCCATCATAACACCTTCTCAGAGTTATTGCTCATATATATCACCTAACTTCAAATACAAGAGGCAAAGCAAGCTAAAGGTATAACCACATGCAACAATAATTCATGCTAAAAGTTTGGTTGTAGCAAAGAAAATTTTCAGTTCGAAGCAAAGTCTCAATTACAATGCATTCTCAGTTCTCACAAACAAGCCAATACATTGATCCAACCGAGGGATGCATCAATAAGTAAAAAAGAGAAAATTCTAATCCAACATGGAACTATAACACCAAGAAACAGAGATGCATCAATAAGTAAAAAGAAAGAAAAATTTTAATCCATCAACAGAAACAAAATTATCTTCAGACATTCATTGGCAAGAAACGCCCAAAACGAATCCATAAATATACATGTGAATGTCATTGGTACTAACTAGGGCTGGGCATTCGGGTATGCGGGTCGGGTTCGGGTAAAACCCGATCGGGTACGGGTCTTTCGGGTAGAGGAGTTTAGGACCCAATAGGGTAAATCTAAAATATCGGTTCGGTTTCGGTTCGGATCTAATCGGGTTCGGGTCGGTTCGGGTTTAGATTTTTAGAACCGCTAAATACCCAAAAAAATCGGGTACCCATCGGGTTCGGGTATTTTATACCCAAATACCCAAAATTTTACCAAATACCCGAATTTTATCCGAAATTTTATCCTAATATCCAAATTTTATCCGCAATTTTACTCTAATATCCGAGTTTCACCCGAAAATTTATCCGAATAACCGGAATTTTTTCCAAATATTTAAAAAATTTACAAGCATCTCGCGTATAAATAAATTTTGTCTTAAATATTTAAATATAAGTGTATTTAATTTTTGGTAACTATTCTCGGATATTTAGATATAAATGTATTTAGCTCAAATATTACATATATAAAAACTTTTATATGTATAAGTATATGTAATTTCGGGTAATCGGGTACCCGTTCGGGTATCGGGTTCGGATCGGGTTTTACCCTATACCCACGGGTACGGCAATACAAGACCCAATAGGGTAAATAGCTAATACCCGTACCCGCCCCGAACCGGTTTTTTCGGGTCGGTTTCGGTTCGGGTACTCGGGTACGGTTTTTTTGCCCAGGCCTAGTACTAACCGATAGAAAAATGAGCAAATAGATCCAGTGAAGTAGATTGCAACATGAACACAAATATACATCTTCAAGACTCACTGAAGCCATTATCGACGAAGTAATTGAAGGTGTGAACGTCGCAATTGTATGTGGACACACATTCAATTTTTATTGCTTTCTTTATTATCCTATTTCAGTTTGTATTTTCTAGGCAAATTTGCTAGCTTTCGTGTCCAGTTTTGTTTCTTATGTATATAACTTTTTTTGTTTGATTCAATAAAAGTTTACATTTTAGTTGTGATTTCAAAAATAATAATTCAGCCTAAATTTTTACCGTTATTTTACGTGACATAAGTACATAACTAACTATCCTAAGAAAATGAAATCTCAAGTTATTTATTCAATTTTCTAATTTTCTTTTTGTTTTAGATAACTACCGACATGCCCTGAAACCGGGATTCTCTACGAAATTTAGGGCGGATTCTCTAAGAATTTACGTCCTGAGACCCGAATCCTCCACCACCTCACCACCATAAGTAGATTCCAAATAACTTTTTTTTCTTGCATTGTTGTTTCTTTTTGATTAACAAGAATGTAACTCTTAAAAGACTACTTTTCGAATAACTTACATTAAATCAATATGTATTTTAGTACCTTATTGACACTATGGTCTTATCATATATTTCCGAGTTTCTGAGGCAATTCATTAAATAGTTACATTTTTTGGTCAAATATCTTATCGTTACACACAACACCTCAACATCTCAAAGGTATACACATTCTTCCACTATTTGAATGACATTATACTCTTTTTTATCTAATTTACTCTTTTTTTTAACTCCTCGAAACCGGGATTTTCTATGAAATTTAGGGCGGATTCTCTATGAATTTTCGTCCTGAGACCCGAATCCTCCACCACATAACCACTATAAGTGGATTCCAAATAACTCTTTTTCTTGCATTTTTGTTTCTTTTTGATTAAGAAGAATGTATCTATTAAAAGACTACTTTTCGAATAGCTTACATTAAATCACTATGTATTTTAGTACCTTATTGAAACTATGTTCTTATCATATCTTTTCGAATTTGTGAGACAATTCGTTAAATAGTTACACTTTCTTTGATCAAATATCTTATCAGTTACACACAACACCTAAATCTCAAGAGTTATTACACATTTTCCGCTCTTGAAATGATACAATAATCCTTTTATCTATTTTACTCTTTTTTATGCCCCAAAACCGGGATTCTCTAAGTAATTCAGGGCGGATTCTTTACGAATTTACGTCATGAGACACGGATCTTCCACCACGTAACTATACCATAAGTGGATTCCAAATAACTCTCTTTCTTGCATTTTTGTTTCTTTTTTATTAAGAAGAATGTAACTATTTTAATAAAAGAAAAAGAAAGAAAACAAAATGTAATAATTAAGAGGTAGCGTTCTTTACAGACTGTTCTGATTGGTGAAGACGGTGTCTTCTCCAACCGAATGGCCGGTGTTTTCAGTGTATTTGGAGGAGTTTCAGAGCGACAAGGAAGAATTTTCAACCTTCTCTTTATCTTTAACTAGATATGGACACGTGCGTTGCACGGGTTAACGATCGAAATTGTTATTTTTAATTTTTATTTTGGTAAGCTTAAATAAAATTATATAAAAATATGTTTTAATTTTAGAAAATTTAGTATTTTAATTATTTTTTAAATATAGATTAATTATGCATAATGTATAATATAAAATACTATTTTTAGTTTTGTTTATTATATGTTAGAGTATGATATTTAATAAATGTTCATATGTGTATTATTGAATTTTAATAAATTATCTACATCCCTCGAAAGAGTGTATAACACTTTCTAATTTCAAAGTGGGCAAGATAGAAACAAAATTGTGACAATATGAGACAATTTATATCCACATCATGTAACTTTACTTGATAATATGAGAAATCCTCAAAACAAAAGACAAATACATAAGAAATTAGGGAATATGCACTAAATAACCTAAGACTAAAAAAGAATTAAGAAAATAATATTAACTAAACAATGTCTATTTGCTATGGTTTTTGACAATTTTTGGTCCATATTACTCATGAGTTACGTTCTTCGTTGTCTCTTTTTTCTTTCTTCTCGCTGGCGAGAAGTCTCAAATCTCTCTTTTTCTCTCATTAGATTTCTCTTATTTTTGCTCGATCTCCTCTTTGTTTTTCTTTCTCTCCCTCTCGTTGGATTTCTACACCACCATATGTTTTACTTTTTTTCATATCACTATTTCTCTCATTCTTCGGGCATCACCACCGAGTCTCACTACTCCGATCCACCAGGCCAGCACCACAACTGTATCTCACAACTATCACAATCATCATCACCATCAATACTAAATCTCGCTAATTCCGACCCACCACCTTCATCAATATTTACCGCCACCACCACCAAGGTTGAACCACAATCATCAACACCAACACCACCGTTACCACATCTTCCCCTCTTTCCCCAACTGCTCTTATTTCTCCACCTTCTTTATCTCCTCCGACATCGGGTTGAGCTTCTTCGACAACAACTCTATTTTATATCCATCGCCGTTCATAATTCTTAATATGCATCCATCGCCATATATTCTCAATTTGTCTATATATCTATTTGTTTATCTATAGAGGTGAGTATTTAAAATCTTTTTTTCTCTTAGGATTAATAATTGATTATAAAATTTTTTTAATTATCATATTATACAATAAGTGTAATTTCATAAATCTTTTTCAATTTTAAGGAAAAAGTAATCTTTTTCTTTTAGACATAGTATAGTAGCTTCAAATTAGAATTAGTAAATAATTTTTTAATTTCTATTTTTATTTAATAAGATACATATAGTTTTCTTTTTTTTTTTGTCAACCTTGGGCCACAACTGGCCGGCCCATTAGCCTAATCCCTACAAATTGTAAGGAGAGGGACACGATCCCTGGTGTGATGGTGCCTGTCCATCAGTGGACTTATCATCTGCCACTAGACTAAGGTCACTTCACGATACATATAGTTTTCTAATAATTATCTTCTTTACTTTTTAAAAATTGTTTTTTATAAGATATATATGTATAGTTGTCTTATAATTTTTTTTCTTAAATTTCTATTTTTATTTCATAAGATAAATCTATTTTTATTTCTATTTTTTATTTGAGTAAAAAAATATTTTTTTTGGTTTTACACGTTGATAAATTTAACATGTGCGTATAGTTTTTTTTTTTTTTTTAATAAATAAAAGAAAATATTTGTTTAACACGTGTCAAAATCTGAGATCGATAAATTTGACATGTGGCACGATCCTATGAGTTACTAACTTTGGAAACCATACTTTATATAATAAGATTTCTCGCAGTGCTAATGTGAAAGCGGATAATCTGGCAAGAAAAGTTCGTACATAACCGCTTCATGTTACTTATGTAAACAACATTCCCCAGAAATAGCTCTTTTGAGCACTATTTAATTTTGGATGACAAAAAAAAGAATAGCTTACATTAAACTCTTTGTATTTTGGTACCTTATTGATACTACATAATTATGTTTTATCATATCTTTCTGAATTTTTGAGACAATTCATTAAATAGTTACACTTTCTTTGGTCAAAAGCTAATAGTTACACACAACGGGCGTATTCTTTTTTCTAGTCGCACAACCAGCGATAGCGACAAGAAAATTAAAAGGCACATATGCTTATCATCTTCCAAATCAAAGCTGTTTTGAGAAACTCTGCTTCAGAAACAGAGACGCTGCGACTGATTAAATGACATGCAGCTGTCGCTGATATTTTCAGCGATCGGTTTAATCAACTCTGCTTGCCCTCGCTTTAGTCTCAGTCTGTCGCTGGTGATGTTGTTTGCTTTCATAGAAGTGCAATTTTCCTGTCGCCGACGCTAATCGCGCGACTTTGAAAAGAACACGCCCAACACCACAAAATGTAAAGATATACATGTTCTTCCACTCTTTGAATAATACTATATTCTTTTTATCTAATTTGCTCTTCTTTTATGCCTCGAAACCGGGATTCTCTATGATATTTAGGGCGGATTCTCTTTGAATTTACGTCCTCAGATCCAGATCCTCCACCACGTAACCACCATAAGTGGATTCCAAATGAGTCTCTTTCTTGCATTTTTATTTCTTTTTGATTAAGAAGAATGTAACTATTTTTTTTAAAGAAAAGAATGTAACTATTGAGAGACTACTTTTCGAATAGCTTACATTAAATCTCTCTGAATTTTGGTACCTTATTGATATTACACAATTATGTTTTTATCATATCTTTCTGAATTTGTAAGACAATTCATTAAATAGTTACACTCCTTTGGTCAAATATCTTATCATTACATACAACACTTCAAAATCTCAAAGGTATGCATATCATTCAACTCTTTGAATGACACTATTCTTTTTATCTAATTTACTCTTTTCTTTTATGCCCCGAAACCGGAAATCTCTATGAAATTTAAGGCGGATTCTCTACGAATTTACGTCCTGAGACCCGGATCCTCCACCACATAAGCATCATATGTGGATTCCAAATAACTCTCTTTCTTGCATTTTTGTTTCTTTTTGAATTAGAAGAATGAAACTATTTTTTATTAAAAAAAAAAAAGAATGTAACTATTAAGAGACTACTTTTCGAATAACTTACATTAATTCTCTCCGTATTTTGGTACCGTATTGATATTTCATAGTTATGTTTTTATCATATCTTTTCACATTTGTGAGACAATTAATTAAATAGTTACACTTTCTTTGATCAAATATCTTATCGTTACATACAACACCTCAAAATCTCAAAGGTATACACATTCTTCCACTCTTTGAATGACACTATATACTCTTTTTATCTAATTTACTCTTCTTTTTACTCTCCGAAATCGAGATTTTCTACAAAATTTAGGGTTAATTTCTCTATGAATTTACGTGATGAAACCTAGATCCTCCACCACGTAACCACCATAAGTGGATTCCAAATAAATCTCTTCTTGAATTTTTGATTCTTTTTAAATAAGAAGAATGTAAATCTACAAAAAAAAGAAAAAAGAAAAAAGAATGTAACTATTAAGAGACTATATTTCGAATAGCTTACATGTATTTTGGTACCTTATTGTTATTTTATAATTATGTTTTTATCATATCTTTCTAAATTTGTGAGACAATTCATTAAATAGTTACACTTTCTTTGGTCAAATATCGTATTGTTACACACAACACGTCAAAATCTCAAAGGCATACACATTTTTCCAATCTTTGAATGACACCATACTCGTTTTTATCCAATTTATGTTTTTTTACTCCCCGAAACCGGGATTCTCTACCAAATTTAGGGTAATTTCTCTAGAAATTTACGTTATGAGACCCGGATCTCCACCACGTAACCATCATAAGAGTTCCAAATAACTTTCTTTCTTGTATTTTTGTTTCTTTTTGAATAAGAAGATGTAACTATTTATAAAATAAAATAAAAAAAAAGAATGTAGCTATTAAGCTAGAGATTACTTTTCGAATAGCTTACATTAAATCTCTCTTTATTTTGGTATCTTATTGATATTACACAATTATGTTTTTATTATATCTTTCCGAATTTGTGAGACAATTACTTAAATAGTTACTCTTTCTTAAGTCAAATATCTTATCCTTACACAAAACATCTCAAAATCTCAAAGGTATTCACATTCTTCCACTCTTTGAAAGACAATATATTCTTTTTATCTAATTTACTCATTTTTTAATACTCCAAAACATAGATTCTCTACGAAATTTAGGGCGGATTCTCTACAAACTTACGCTTTGAGATCCGGATCCTCCACCACCTAGCCACTACACGTGGATTCCAAATAACTATCTTTCTTTCATTTTTTTTTCTTTTTGGTTTAGAAAAATGTATTTATTAAGAGTCTTCTTTTTGAATAGCGTAATTGCTTACAAGACTATGTAAACATAAACTCTTAATCCACACACACTCACATAGATTATTGAAAACTATGTTCAAACATAAAATATTTCGGTTGCGAGTATATGTCTTTCTAGCAATTTATATTTTTATATTACAAATCTGCTATCACACTCCAGATTTTTGTTATAAAAAAAGCTGTCATAACATAAAATAAATCTGTTATCACTAATAAATCAAACTAGTAATTATTTTTTCATTAACATATCTGCTACATTATGGCAGATTTTTATCGAAAAATATAAGTCTAATGCCACTGAAACAATAAATCTGCCACACATTTTAATAAATCTGTCAAAATTACGAAAGTATGTGGTGTCATCATAAAATAAGTCTGTTATGGGAAAAAAATCTGCTACAAATTAAATATCTGTCGTAACCTATTTCAAGTAATTCTGGTGGGAAAAAAAATATGTCGCAAAAAATCTGTCGTAAACAAATAAGTCTGTCGTGGAAGATAAACCTATCACAATTCACAACTAACTCAGCAGACTTCTCAAATAATTTTTTTTCCCATATTTTTTCCCCACGTTTTTAATATATTTAAGAGTACTTTTGACATTTTTTTTCCTAACAAAGAGAGAAAGAGTATTTTGGTCATAAAAATAACCCATTTAACCCCCAAATTTTTTGAGACACTATAGTAATTAAACTTATAATTTGGGTTAATCTAGTAACTTTTTCATTTTCTCTTTATCTAAATTTACTCTTTTTTGCGCTCCGAAACCGGGATTCTCTACGAAGTTTAAGACGGATTCTCTACAAAAATACACTCTGAGACCCGGATCCTCCACCACCTCACCACTACATGCGGATTCCAAATAACTCTCTTTGCACTTTTTTTTTTTTTGGATATGGGTTTACTTACTCTATTTGCTACATTACTCATATTACATAATTATGTTCTTATTTTTCTCAATTTGTAAGACCAGTCACTAAATAGTTACTTTCTTGGTCAAATATCATATCAGTTACACACAACACTTGCAAATCTCAAGGGTATACACATTCTTCCACTCTTTGATTGTCACTATATTATGTTTATCCAATTTACTCTTTTTTTACACCCCGAAACCGGGATTCTCTACGAAATTCAAGGCAAATTCTCTATGAATTTACGCCTTGAGACCCGGATCCTCCCCGATCTCACGCAGATTCCAAATAACTCTCTTTCTTGTATTTTTGTTTCTTTTTGGTTAAAAACTAAAACTATTAAGAAAATTATTTTTGATTAGCTTAATTTGCTCATAAGACTATGTAAACATGAACTCTTAATCCACACACACACATAGATTCATACAAATGGTGTAGGCCACTCTTATCCCATCTTTTTAAAGATCCTATATTGAAACTATATGTATTTTGGTACCTTATTGATATTACAAAATTATGTTCTTATCTTATCCTTCCCAATTTGTAAGACAAGTCATTAATAGTTACTTTCTTGGTCAAATATCATATCAGTTACATACAACACCGCAAATCTCAAGTGTGTATACACATTCTTCCACTCTTTGAATGACACTCTTTATCCAATTTACTCTTTTTTGACACACAAAACCGGGATTCTCACAAAAATTTAGGATGGATTTTCTGCGGATTTACGTCCTGAGACCCGGATCTTCCACTACCTCACGCGGATTCCAAATAACTCTCTTTCTAGCATTTTTGTTTTTTTGGTTAAAAAGAATGTAACTATTAAAAGAATTATTTTTGAATAGCTTATTATGTAAACATGAACTCTTAATCCACACACACTCACATAGATTCATGAAAACTATGTTCAAAGAAGAGCTCCGTTAACTCCAAAATGAAGTTGGTAAATTATGTGACACATGTTGCACAATGTAAACATATGAAAATGGTGTAGGCCACTCTTATCCTATCTTTTTTATATCTTGTACATTGAATCTATAGTCTTGATTTTGGTTATGGGTTTACTTACTCTATTTGTCACCTTATTGACATTAAGTAGTAATGTTCTTATCTCATATTTCCCAATTTGTAAGACAAGTCATCAAAATAGTTACTTTCTTGGTCAAATATCATATAGTTATACACACGACACCTCAAATCTCAAAGCTCTATACACATTCTTCCACTATATAAATGACATTATTTTCTCTTTATCTAAGTTTACTCCTTTTTACGCTCCAAAACCGGGATTCTTTACGAAATTTAGGATGCATTCGCTACAAATTTACGCCCTAAGACCCGGTTCCTCCTCCACCTCACCACTACATGCGGATTCCAAATAACTCTATTTCTTGTATTTTTGTTTCTTTGTGATTAAAAAAATGTAACTATTAAGAGAATACTTTTTGAATAGCTTACATTGAATCGATCTGGATTTTGGTACCTTATTGATATTACATAATTATTTTTTTATCTTATCGTTCCCAATTTGTAAGACATTAATTTAAAGCGGATTTTCTACGAAATTACGCCTTGAAACCCGGATCCTCCACCACCTCACCACTACACGCAAATTCGAAATAACTCTCTTTCTTGCGCTTTGTTTCTTTTTGGTTAAGAAGAATGTCTGTTTAGAGACTACTTTTTAATAGCTTAATTGCTCATAAGAATATGTAAACATGAACTCTTAATCCACACACACATATTCATGAAAACTATGTTCAAACGAGCTCCATTACACATGGGTATATATATATATATACATATATAACTCACAGGATATGTACATCAGATTATCCCATCCCCGGTCTAAATCTGTTCGAGAATCAACCGCGATGCAGCCTAATTCGTAGTAAAGTAGCTCTACACAACAAACACACCCAAACAAAAACCCTATACAGTGAAAAGCAGTCACCAAACATTAGAAGAAAGCTGATGGTCTTCTGCCACAACAACAAGAGGAGTCCTACACAGTGGGCAAGTGATGTTCCAATAGTCTATCCATTTCTCCAAGCATGTTTTGTGAAACAAATGGCCACACTTTAGCTTGTTGATCTCTGAATCCCCTTCGAATTTCGACAGGCACACCGAACACTCATTGTCCTCCTGTTTCTTGCACCTGCACAAGCTCTCAAACCTCAGTGTCGGAGTCCGGTTCCTGAACTCCTCAAGGAAACTCTCTGGTTGGCAAACCCGGAAATCAAAAGGCTCTGAAGTTGGATTCTCTGAAGATGCCGTCACTGAGGAAGGCGAGGATGAAGAAGGCGAGAGACTGATTCCTACTATGCCAAGGACTGATCGGACAATGCCTTTAACAATGGAGATCGATAATGCTGTGTTAACTAATATCACACATAACATTCCTTCTGATGGACCAGGAAGACTTGATAAACCCATCTTTCAATTCTTGGATTGCTACAACGAGAGCTTGCTCCGGATTCTTCAAACAAGATGTAATTCTTGATCCAATCTTTGTCGGTAGAAATGATGTTTGTCTGAAAAACACCATTATAGGCTATTAACACACAATATATGAAAACTTCAAGACAATTCCAACCAAAGCACATAGATTTCAATAACAATCAATGTTTAGTATGAACAAGCAAGAGACTTGAAGGTCTCATATGATCCAGAAACAGAAATAACTCTGAAGCTTAGCAAATCAAAACCAAAGCACAAAGCTTTATCAAATTGTTTAACAGGGTAATTCAATTAACACTAATCAGTATCAAAAGGGTTCAAGAACAAATCTTTATTCAATTAGTTCCAAAGACGATTCTAATTCTACTACCATCAAACCAAAAGATCAAGTCTTTGTTCGTACCACACACAAAATTTGACTCTAAATCAAGAAACACAGATCAAAACCTCTAAAAGATGCAAACTTTGTGAAACCAATAACAAAAATTTAAAATCTTTTAACTCTAAAACATGAATCAAAACCATAAACCTGTTTCTGGGGCCAAAATCAAGGTTAAAAATTGGGGAAAAATCGAAACTTTAGAGAAAACTACGAACCTCTAGAGTCAAATATGAGAAGCGATCATCAACAATTTACAAGAAAGATGAAGTTTTTATTGGGTGTGAAAGAGTAGTGAATGGAATCTGAAAAGTGTAGTTGGTTTTGATAAAAGAGGAGGTTCCAATTGTTGTTAATATATAGCAAAGCAATATCAAAAGCTTCCAATGATCTTTTAACTAGAGAAGCTTAACTATGGTTAGTCAATCTAGTTAACTCTATTTCAGTCTTTCAGGTTGATTTGATTAACCATGGTTACTTTATATCATCAATTTGTACTTGCTTGCATTTTTTTATTCCAGTTTTTTTTTAATTTATAAATTCATACACTGCCAAAATAATAATAATCCATGTTTTAAATAAGAAAGATATTAATAAGTAGGGTGTTTCTATTGTTTATATGCTTTGCACTAACTTTTTTTTTTTTTTTTTGTGTTACTGAGAATTAACTAGTGATATAAACATTGTTAACAATATTAATTTTATCTTTGACTATCATTTATTTATTTAATACCTTGTTTTGGTTAAAAAAGAAAAGTTAACATTGTATTTTACGTTCTATTTATAGTCTAATACAACAATCAATGTTTTTTTTTTAAATACTTTCTCCGTTTTTTATAATGTTTAAAGATTTTTTTTTTTGTTATTATTTGTAAACTAAAACATAATTTTTTTTTTACGAAACTAAAACATAATTTATTATCTACGTAAACACGATTCGATCAATAATAAAACATTATACATAATATAAATCATCAAAACTTATAAAGAATAATTAATTTTGCATTGAAAGTTAAAAATATAATGTATTTTATAATAAATTTTTTCCTAAAACATCAAATAATTATCAAAACAATATTAGTGTTTTGTTATATTATGTGGTCAATGTAATCAAACAATTGCTGCATTTCAGAAATTGTAATTATATACATAATAGGCATTATTTTAAGTCAATAATCATCAAAAAAATATTAGTGTTTCAAGATATTTTTAGATATATTTCCCCGTATAGATACTATCAATTTTTAAGGTATTTTATGTAAATATTCTTAGCATATTTTTGGCTTAAGATCTATTATGTTACTAGATTTTAACCCGCGGTACACCGCGGGGCTATATTTTCTTAAAAAAATCAAAATGTAATTTGTTTGATAGATTATTTTGATTGTTAATTTTAGGATTTCACCCGTGGTATACTATCTTTTATAAATATCAACCCAAACCCGTCCCATCATATTACCCGTCCCGTGAAATTAAACATCATTTAGTTATTTTTCTTTTTAATAATACTTTTATTTAAAAGCTATATAATTCAAGTCAATTTAAAAATTTCTTTTAAATGGTTCCCATAAGATATATATACATATATATATATATTAAATTTGTATAGAGTTGAAATAATATTAATATTACAAACTTTTTATATAATTTAAATATTATAAATATTTTTAAAAATATGCAATATATATTTTTTGTTATTGAATAAGAGGATATTCTGTGTAAGAAATGTAGAAAATAAGAGTTTAATATTTTTATTATGGAGTCGCAAGAAAAATCTTTTATTTCTATACATGTTATTCGTTTATTAATAATAAAAGAAAACAAATCCTTTAAATTAGATATTAACTAAAATAAACGCACCATAATTACTTATTAAGTAACAACCAATAAATTTCACCAAAAAATAGGTAACAACCAATAAATTCTAAACCCTTAATTAAAGAATGAGATATTAAAAAAAAATATCAGATAAGATATAAGAATCTTAAAATAATTGAATATCTAAATAATTTAATTGTTAGTGTCGATTTTAATGTCTTCATTAATGTGGATTTTTTTTTTACAGAGAAATATTTCCTAAAGATTATCACATTAATGACTCAGAAAATTAAGGAAGATATGAATTTATGATTCTCGAAATCGTGTTGGTAATATCTTTAATTAATATTTTTCAAATTTAAATAATTAATGCCAATGGCATTCATCCGTAAATACATTCCAACTCCAGGATTTATTTGCTAAAAGTCATCCAAAAATGTATATATAGATTTATAGTTGGTAAATTTTCAGCTAGATTTTTATTTAATATTCGAAAATATTTCACCTTTTATTATTGTATCCAATCTGTCTCAATTTTTAAGCAAAAGTATTAAAAAAATCTTACTTCCAAAATTATCCACAAAAATCAAAATGAATTTATTTTTGTGGATAATTTTGGAAGTAAGATTTAAAAAATTGAGAAACTAGTTAAAGAAAAAAATAGGAAACCGATACAGAGATATTCTCTTTTAAATATGAAAAGAATGAATGGAATAAAGATGAATGAAATATGGAAACAGTGAATAATTTTATTTTATTCATTTGTATACAACACAATCCAGAAATATTTCTCTTTTAAATTAATTCATTTTCAGGTAATTAAAGGCTGTTTATTTTTCTATTTTCGCAAATGGTGGAATTTTAGCAAAATGCATATAAATAATCTGTTTCACCATAATCATTCATCTAATAAAAAAAATCATTTGTAGCCTTAGTATATATTTATGTTGTTATCCTAGGCTCCTAGCTGAAGACTAATTTGTATAGTTTATATCATCCTAAAGATACTTAAACACAACAACATGATGAAAAATGATATAACAATAAAAGCATACACCAAAAAACAACTAGAAACACAACATACCTAACTACATATGCAAATTTTTGAAACCATCAAACCCACTTTCACTCTAATAGATATTCTTCTATATCGCAACAGTAGGATAATTTATACCCAAATATGCACGTTTAAAGTGTTTTTATGTTAAGTCCTGAATTTGAGTCTCTTATGTTTTAGTAATAAGTTATGAATCGAAACGTTTAGAATTCTATTATAAACATTTTATGAGTTAGGTGGTAACTGCTTTCTGCTAGTTTGTTTATATGAATAGAGTAGGTATCGTGGAGAGCTATATATTGCTAGTTTCTATAAATACGATGAGACAATCATACAAGATACGAATCAGAATTTAATACTAGTATTATTCTAGCTTAAATTAATACTTGATTTTTAAAAATGTCATACAAAAAACCGACATAAGAGTTATATATTGATTCGAACAAAAAAATGTTATGATATTGATTTGTCGTTTTCCCAATCTGAATAAATCATGTCACGACACATTAGTTACATTGTATTGAGTAATTTTCACGTTGGCCATCTGTCCTCTATTGGACCCTCACAGGGCCTGTGGGTTTCATGTTCCACAATTTTGTTTTCATTATTTACTTCTGTCTTCTTCCTCTTTTGAATTATTTTGATGTGTACACCAAATTGTAATTTGGCATTTTCTCCGTATATAATGTATTTATAACAATACTCCAACGCTTCACATGGTCCGACATTCGATAGGACAAAGTTTTTTTTAACCATTAGGCTAAGCGGTCTAAAAAAGCTTTTGAATGAGAGCTAATGAAAATGTTCGAAACTATAATGTAACTAGGTTTAGGTGGCACTAAAATGTAGAGGGCAACAACCAATAAACAATTTTATATATTCAACATTAATCGGTTAACTTAATTTACTAAAGTTTGATTGATAATTGTAGTAGAATAGGTAAGCTCTTGATAATTCAGACTGCAATAATCGTTTGGAAATTTGCAATGGAGATAAATTGTAAAACTTACTCACAAAATGAGAAATAATTTTTCTTAGTTTAGATTGCTATCCAGTAAAATTTTATTCCAATTTTTTACTCAAAGTTGTTTATTAAAGATCTCACTAGTATTATATCTTATAGCAAATTCTATCACCAAATAGCGTAAGCAGTGAGCTGATAAAACTGTAAGTGATATTATTTTATTTGAACAAGAAAGATGATAATTAATTAATTTTTTTAAAGTTATCATCCATTGAGGTTTTTTAAAAAAAGATATGCAAGAAACTCTTTATTTAATTAAAGGCTCACGACGAGAACGAATCTATGGATTGAGGTAGTGGAGGAGTATTCGTCTGAAAAGGGGTATGAGTATTGTGGGCTACTGTATGGAAATTTGGTGGGTTCGATTTCGTTCCGTTGGGAACAAGAATGCCCTTTGATGGGTTCGTTTCAACAGAATATGGTTGGGTTCTTCTACACATGGAACTTACATTCAAATGAATCAAGAGTAATACATAACATATTTAAAAAAAAATAGAATAAAATCTCCCCCCTCCCCCCCCCCCCCAAAATTCTTTCTACAAAGGCGTTTA